ATGAGGGAGGACAGAACTTTCTTGAAAACCCGAATGTGCCGCATGGAAAAATTGTTGGGGAGTCCTTCATGGATGTCCGGGAGCGCGCGTTTTTGACTTATCTGCGAGACATAAAACCAGTCAGGAACTACTAATCGAGTTCGCTTTTTAAACCGCTCGATTTTCCACGGTGGGTGCGTTGAGGCGGATGCTTTGATGTTTTCTGAACATAGGCCTGCTGAAGAATTACGACAATATGTCTATATGTACGGCTTCCCCCCAGAGACAATCCTAGATTTGGCAACCCGAGGTCAGGGGTCGATGTTGAAGGCTCTCAACACAGTCGGAAGATTCCATCTTGACGGCAAACATTTGGTGAAGGATCAGGGGGAAAATACGGAAAATAAAAAAATGATAAACGACAGAAAATTCGCCGAGTTAGAGGACACCAGCACTGAGTTTCCATTTGGAAAGAGTTCTATCGATTTCGAGCCCGTTATTGAAATAGAATAATGTCTCACTACCCGGTGTGCGCGATTTGGACCGGCCGCGCGCTGACCTCTGGGCTGCGCAGCTGTCATCTTGCGCAGGAATTTAGGGTTACGGTTACGGATCCTGCCGGCGGATTGTAAGGATGTTTACTTTGAGGCGCCTTACATACGATCATTCACGAATCATGACAAGATATGACATGTATTATACAGAAGGATTATGGTAATGAGGCTAATCTATCCAATATTCTATTTGTTGACGTCGGTTTAGATACGATTGATTATTTGTTAGACATTGTAATCTCAGATGTAGCATTCTCTTGTAATGGACCATACTGGTACCGTGGCTAAATCAGCATAACAATCGCTGTTATGGGGTGGTTCAGAGAGGGCCCATGATAGTGCCTACGGTCCTAGAGATGATTGTCACCTGTGCCAGCCCATTCAAGTTCATATACCAATACATTACTATTACCTCTATAGTTCTAGAACGGCACAACCATCTATTCCTCATCATAATCCCACAACCTCCACCTCTCCCCTATCCACCACCTCCCAACCTTCTCAGCTTCAGTAACCCACCTCGCAGCCCCATCCCCATAAACATTTCTAACATGCTCAGCCAACATATCAACCTCCCACTCCGTAATTCCGCTCACTTCCTCGGGATCCTTCTCCCGATGAACAAACTTATACTCAAAATCATCTGTCATGGGCATAATAAGCCTATACGGCGCCGCCGCAGACCCCACGCTCAGAATCTCGCCGCCGGGGTTAATAACGTTGAAATTCCATGCCTGACGACCGCGGTGGGTGGCTTTGTAGGGGCGGATGAGGGACTGGCCTTCGTATTGGTGGATGAGGTCGGAAGCGATATCTGTGTCTTGGGTGTTGAGGGATTTGGTTTGGATGAGGAGGTCGAGAATTGTGGGGAGGATGGAGATGGAGGTTGTGTTTGCGGTGATTTGCATGCGGGGGAGGAGCGGGTGGTGGAAGACGAGGGGGATCTGGAAGTTGCTGATGTGTGGGTTTTGGTAGGTTCCTGAGATGGGAGCATCTTCTTGGAAGGCTTGGCCGCTGGTTTGTTGTTAGTTTTTGATGTGCAACGGGTAGTTGGCGTATACTTACTGGTCTCCCACGAGTACTACCAGGGTTTCGTTGGCGATTCCGGAATCATCCAGGAGTTTCATAACGTTGCCTAGCCAGGTGTCTACGTAACGGATGGCATTGAGGTATGAGTTCATATCCTGGTGGTTCCCCAGAACGCTGTCTTTTGAAAAGTAGTCGTTATACTCAAACGCGTTCGGAGTTCCCCAAGGATGATGTGTAGTGCTGGTGAAGTGAGATAAGAACAGCCGGGTTTTGTTTTCCACGGCATCGTTAATCGCGTCTTGGATATACGGGTATATTTCAGGCTCCGGGTACCTGGTTTGAGTTAGCGGCATGTAAACGAATATTTGGGTTAACGAGACTCACCCAAAGTAATTGATCTTCTCCATCGGCACGTGATAATGCTTGGAGTGTCTGTCGATAAGAGTCTCCTTATAGATGGACTCGTTGAATCCCATATTCTCATTCAGAACATCCTGGTTATCATAGCGTCCGGTGATCGACTGCAGAAAGACAGACTTCCATTTACGGTCATGCACAGCATCGGTCTTATCACTCTTCATTTGGTTGAACAGGTCGAGAATCTGCATGATGCATGGCTGATAGATATCTGATTCTGCTTCCTTCATGAAATTGACAGGCAGCGGCTGTACACCACAGTAATTCATCACAGCACTTTTGAAAGAAAGGGTACTGCCTGTAGAAACTCCTTCAATGTCGATTCCGCCCAGTTTGGATTGACCAGCCGAGTCCTTTGCGAAGAGTCCAGATGACTGTCCTGTAAGTTGTTCGGCAACCGGCGTGAGTTTAGATAGCTTCTCATTGACCTCCTGAATAGTAGCCTCGTCCGTAGTGTCATGAGAGGCGAGGATCTTCTCATGTAGAGGAGAACCGGCCTTAAAGGGAAACAGATCCTTTCGGGCACTTTCCATCAAAACAAACACGACGTGGTTGATTGGGATGTCATGGTCTTGTAAAGCCTGTTTTAACGGTTCCAAGATCGGCAGATCCAAGTTTGAGATCTTCAGAGGATCAGTCACCGGGTTGTAATAAGACATGGTTTCATCCTTGTTCCCATCCGAGCCACTCTTTGCAAAGTTAGTCGGATCTGCCCACCGCTGGAATCCCCGGGGTAACCGACTAAACGACCACCAAGGTTGAGGCCGAATATACGTTTCTGGGGTAGCATGGGAGGCAGTTGGTGCCCATCCAGGGAAATGGTCATGAGGTGCTTCCCAGAATTCTGACTCCAGAAGGCCCGGGAACGGAAATTGCTGCTCGATATCCCCGTGGGAACTAGGGTGGTGAGGGATGAGAACCTGCATGAGGGTGACAGGCAGGGTTCCGGACATATGATCATACGGCACGGACGGCCGAATGATCCATAATCCGGCGGTTGCTATCGTGAAGCATAATGTCCAGATCCGAGCTGGGCTTCTTATATGGAATTTCCGCTTCGTATCAGGCCCTGGTAAAACTGCGGTCGAATATTCTGGTTCTGCTGTCCCATCAAAAAGCACAGACACCCAGCGGGTAATCAGGGAGTAAATATGAGGCGTTAGGAACCATGCGATAACGGTAAGGCAGGCTGAGACTGCAAGGACTGGTCTCAGGCCACTCATCATCAACTTTCGTCCTTCGGGGTCATTTCCGACGCTTTTGGCAGTGTTCCAGCGAATCTCGCTACCGGTGACAAGGTAAAAGCCGATTTGCGATGACGCTGCGGCCAAGGCGATGCATCTATGGCCATCTATTAGGGTGGGAAGAAGAAAAAGGAAAGGGGAAAAAAAAAAAAAAACAAAAGACGGAGAGAAAAGGAAATGACAAAACGAGAAAAGCTATCTTACACTATTATCCCGGCAAAAGCAGTTGCTGCAACGGATTTCACGCCCGACGTCTTGTGGAGCAGGAACCAAACCGCAATGCACAGCAAGACATCCTGAACGAAGAAGGTTGGGAGGTAGAGTACCAGGCTATAGCGAGGAACGGAGTAAACATGTTGAAACACATGGAGCGCTTTTGACGAAAGCACTGAAACGGCCAAGATAGATACCAAAAATGGCTGCCAGAAATGAGAGCGTGAAACGAACATGATAGGCGCCGGGAAGTCAAATTGGAATGGTAATCAATAATGCTCCATAACGAGTATTCCCCGGATTTAGGACGAAAGAGAAAACGAACGGACACCAGACCCGTAGCTTAAAGAGATCTGGCAGACTAGAACTGAAGAGCTCAAGAAACAGATTGCTACATCAGGCGTTATTTCACAAGGCTAAATCGAAGACATGGCATGGGTCCCGTGGAGCAACACCCTGGAATTTCAATTGCGGATAAGAATAGTAGGGGATTGTGATCCATCCTTAGCGCTTATTTCGGTGGAGATGCTGTGCTCGAGATTCGCAAGCGATGACCCAAAAGCGGAATTCGCTTTGGGGTTAACCGACAAACCAGGCAAGTCATCTTCACTGTGCCGGTCAAAAATGTCTCGGAAGTGCCCCAATAGAAATAGAAATGAAAGTCCAGCACACGACTTTTGCGGTTTGATCCGGATCATAACCAAGGATCATTGAGGGTCATGCCAAAGCGAAAGGATTGAGTGGCACTGACAGGCCGCAAATAGGGGAGAGAGCACGAGAGCCATAAGTTTTCGTCCGCTTCGGCTAGCGTTCGGTTCCACATTACTGTGTCCGGGACACGCCTTGGGACCGGATTGGCTTGGGGCCTCTAGGGCTGTGAGGCAAAGGGGTTTATAAAAAAGCTTGACCTAATGCGATTGTCAGTCTGGCACTCCTGAATGGGCAAAAGAACATGCGACATGACCTTGTGGAATGTCGATGATTGACAAATCGAGTAATAGCTCACGAGTGATTTTGTAATATTAATGGCAGACGGGGCCATATTGAACTCTCTCTCTCTTTTTCTCTAGCAATGGCCTCTGTATGGCCCTTTGCCCGGCTATGACGATCTTTGTATGGGCCTGTACGCGTACAGAGCAGTCGTTGTCATTGTGTTTTCTGTCACATGGAGGAAATCAAATGCCGCTGTTGGTTTCTCTCGGTGATTTGATCGCGTTGAAGATAAGATGAGAGATGAGGCTGAAACCAGAAGTCAATTGCCGGGTTAGCCTAAAAGGGAAAGCGAGCACATTTGCGACAGAGTACATACTTGTACATAGCATACAAGACTGTTTATAACCATGTCTTCATCTACTTCTCTCAACTCTTACAATATATAAGTTATAGCTTTGATATGAACAAAAGGTCCAGTCAGTCGAATCCCAAACAGGCAATATTTTCCCTCGGTCGCATCCCCGCATCGTCCAGAGCCTCCAAAATGCCTTATCGCTTGGCTTCTCGTCGCATTCATCGCATTCCCCAACTTATCCTGGGCTCCTCTATTGTATTCAGGGCTTGATCCGCAATGCGACGAGTGAAGAAATCCCGAAATGGCTGTGCTAGATGCAAGAGTAAACGCGTGAGTCCTGCGCTTATCAGAGACAGACGAGTACTAACGACCGCCGTACAGGTCAAATGCGGCGAAGAGAAACCTCATTGTAATCGTTGCACTAGACTGGGTATCAGGTGTCCCGGATATGTTCAGTCGCTGCGTTGGGTGACCAACCACAGTGGCATTCAGTTTGAGAATGCTACAGTGACAAGAACGGCCAACAATGCTGCTACTCCCAGAGCAGCTCGATCGCCTGCTCCTAGAGCATCTAGAGCACCGGAAGGGCTTATCGAACCGCCATCAGTGTTCTCCCAGTCAACAGCCTTGGACGACGTGGATAATCCCGCCACAATTGGTACCACCACCGCTACCCAGGACCTGCCAGACCCATCCAGCCTGGAAGTAGATGGCACAAACGTTCTATGCGAAAACTTATGGGACGTCAGCGGAAGCTCTCTACCAGAACTAGATGGCCTTTCCTCTCCCTCTTCGGTCGCAGCATCGACATCCGAGGAATCAACCCAGCAAACAGACTCGCCGTTTGCTGCAAATCTCGCAACAGCAGACTTATCAAATATCTTCTCGCTAGCAGCGCCAGCGTTCCAAGAGAATAGCAGAAACTATGGCAACTTCTCACCAATGGCCATTGTGCGCAGCTATCCTCCTCCGTCCTTGAGGCCGCAGCACATTCCCCAGCCCTTAAATGGCAACACATCCTGGACCCTAATCGAATACTACTTCAAGGAAGTAGCAGCGCTGTTCTCGAGCTATGATAGCCAGATGAACCCCTTCCGTACGACGGTATCTCGTCTCTGGGGATCATCATTGGCTATGTGTCGAACGATGCAGAGCATGGCCGCGGCGACACTAGTTCATGATTTCCCTCAATTCGGGCCGATGGGATTGAAGATGCGGAACGAAGCCGTTGACATTCTTACCAAGGAGTCTGAAATGGATGATAAGTCCCTCCTAGCATTGCTCATGCTGGGACAGACTGCTAGTTGGCACGATCCGAAGGACCTGGGGATTTCATTCTTCAATCTACTACGGAAGCACCTCAATGACAAGTCTTCTAGTGCGGAGCCATTTCTATCCAGACACGGCAAGAATCATCAGTTCTTTGAAGAAGCACTGGTTTACTGGGAAATGCTCCTCTCCTTTGTCGCGGACAATGACTCGCTCTCTCTGTCTGACACGATCCCCGGAATGGAAGATTTACTTGTTCTCCAACGCATGCCTCACCCTTGGACTGGAATAGCCCGCGACACACAATCCGCAGTCCAGGAAGTAGGCAGGCTCGTCCGTCGGGAACGAAAACGCATCCGCGCCCAGCACTTCACCTCTCAAGAGAACATCACCCAAGCTCAAAAAGCCATCAACGAAGCAGAGCAACTCGAAGAAAGACTCCTTGGACTGGCCCACCCGGCAGAGACCGAAATAATCAGCCCCGGCGACGACGACACACCCGTCTGGCATCTCCTAACTATGGCTGAAGCCTACCGATGTACGGGATTGATACAGCTATACCGCGTATTCCCGGACCTTCTTCGCTACCGATTACCATCACCAAACACCAGTACGATCGATCAAGACCCCTTCCTCTCAGACCCAATCCTAGGCAATGACTGTAACCTAGACGGCTTCGAATTTCCTTGGCTCAACACCAACAGCCCAAAGAAAACACCACCAGAAACAACAGCAACCAAAACCAAAGCAACAGACTCCTACTACAACACCTGGCTCACCGAATTCACCTTAACGACCCTCTCGCGCCTAAAAACCATTCCCATGGAATCCCGCACCCGCTGCGTACAGCCCTTTCTCTTCGTTGCATCGAGTAGCGAGCTACGACTTCCTACTGTTCCAATGGACGAGTCCAACACCAATGATCAAGGTAATAGTAACGAGGAGAATGTATCACACGCCGTCGAAGTCCTGCGAACACGCAAATTCGTCCTCGGCCGTCTAACTTCGTATCTACATGTGTTACCACCGAAACCAATACATGTGTGTTTGCAATTGGTGAAGGAGGTTTGGAAAAGGATGGATGCTGGTGGGAGGGATGTTTATTGGATGGATGTTATGATGGAGAGGGGGTGGGAGACTACTATGGGGTAGTTCTGTTGTAATCGGTTGGTTATGAGTCATGAGTTACATTGAATTAATGAGAATGATTGTTTATTTCGAGAGTATAAAGAGTATATAACACCGATATGCTCCATTGCTCTTCAGTTCATGGCAAATATCTAAGAACTGCACAAAGATAAGACAAGATAACCGAGATGAAGCCCTGGGTATGCAATAACACAAGGAAATAAAAGAATAGGAATAGATTATTATACATAGAATCGAATTAGGCCCAGTTAACCATGAATTAAACATATACCATGTCACACGATAAATCAATCAATCAACACATACACGCGTCCCTTTTTCTCAGTCACAAGATATTGTAAGTATTAAAGAATGCTAGAAGTCAAAGTTGGGTCAAAGTCGAGAAACGAAAGTCGTCATGCATGGTCGAGGAACAGCATCAACGTAGGGACATGGCCGATGTCAAGGAAACGGCGACGCCGACGCCGACGCCCTCTTCCAGAACTTCCATCCCTCACGCCGCTCATCACCACCTCCAACGCCGACGAGGCGGTCAATGCCGTCCGTCCCGATGGCGTTTTCAAATTTCTGCTGGTCAATCTCCTCGCCGCCTTCCTCGTCGGTGCCGTTGCGGAGGACTGCTGGCCATAAGACTCCGATGCCGTCGCCGCCCAGAGTGGTCTCGTATTTTTCGAATCCCTCTGCATTTAGCTGGGTCTCGAGACCCTGTAGTGACTCTTCTTTCACATCTGGGCGGACAAGCGTAATGGCGCATCCACCGCCTCCTGCACCTGTGAGTTTCGTCCAGCCAAGGTCGCCAACCAGCTCGCGGATCCGTTCTAGCCGAGGATGCGATACGCCCAATGAGAGGAGGAGGCCATGATTGATGCGGAAAAGCGTGCCCAGGGCCTCCAGGGTCTCGCCCTTGTCCTTCTGGTCGCAGATGAGCTGGTGTGCAGCATCGGTGACCTTGTCAATGGCGTCGAGTATTGTGTCTGTTACCAATGGGTGCTCTGCCTTCAACTTGCCCACCTTGGCTACTTCTGTCAAGGTTGAACGGCTTTGCTTGGTGTTCACAAGCAACAACCGCGCCTCGGGGAAGTTGGGCACTGGGGTTACCATGGGCGGGTCACCCCTCCTGTAGAGCAACGCCTTTCCGCCTGCTGCAACTGTGTTGTCCACCCCACTGGGGTTCCCATGTATGCACATCTCACCCACAAATGACCAGCGGTTGATGCGCTCGATCTGTACTTCTGCCTCGTCGGACGGTTGGTCGGGATGCGGGCCGGCCAGGGCGCGGATCTGGGTTAACAGCGCCGCGCTTAGACACACGCATACGCTAGCGCTGCTTCCCAAACCCGCGCCTATCGGGATAGTCGATCGCATGGTGTACACAGCGCCGGGGCTCTGCGGCGACCCGAGGGAGAGGAAAAGGTAGAGGAAGGAAGTAGCGGAGCGGACGTGGATCTTGCGCTGCTCATCTGGTCTACCCAGTGAAACGGCTTCGGCGTGTGGCTTAACCGCATCGAGGAGCTCAGGATCCAGCGCGGTGACCAGGTCGTAATAGAACTTCTTCTTGGATGGGTGGTGGAAAAGGTCCCAAGGTAGCGAGTCGATGTCCCACGTATGATCCAGCCCAATATCCCTAAAATTCAGTGTGACCGTGCGATGCGATTTCGAAAGCGTCGTGACGTGCAGGTAAGACCGCAGCGAAATAGCCGCTGCCATGGCTGCCTTGCCGTGAACGACTGCGTGTTCGCCGTAGACGATGACCTTTCCGGGGGCCGACACCATAAAGGCAGGCGCCATTGGCGACGATGCTTTGCGAGCAGCCATATTCTTTCTATTTGTTCTTTCTTTTGCGCTGGTGCTTATCGAGACGCCGTTGGGGAGAGTATTATGCGAGGACGAACTGGTGGGTGTAGGAGCTGAGGTGGTGGCAGTGGTGGTGGTACTCGATGCGGAGGTACAGGGGGTGGTCGAGGAGATATCGCCGTCGGAACTGTCGAAGCTGTCGGGGCTGTCGTACTCGCGCACGCAATTGCTGACCACAGCTGACTTGATGCTATTCTGACTCGACATGGTTCGGTGATGTTTGGCTCTGAAGCTGGCGTTCTTCTTACGGCCGCGACTGGGCATCGTCAGGGGGAAGGCGGTAAAGGAGGGCGCAACAGGATCAGGAGAGTAAGGAGGAGAATAAGGATAAGATGGAGGAGGAAGAGGAACTGGGGTATTATAGACAAAATGCACAAACAGAAGGAAGAGAACAGAAAGAAGAAGGACAATTGTTAGGAACATCTTGAAAGTACTAGAGTAAACACGGACCAGGCCAATCGCCTTTGTCACAATAGTGCTGACCACTCTCTAGATAGGGGTATATAATATGCGATCAAGACAATAGTATAGTTATAAGACAGTAAGAGATGCTTCTTATATATACGGCAAATTCTCATCAAATTTCTATTTAGTTGGGTCGTATATACATGTCTATCTTACCCACATATACACCTGCATCTGCATAAACGCCAAAAGGGAAGAAAAGCAGTCGCAATCATAATCATTTGGATCTTCTACTCAAAGATTCATTGTTACCGTCATGCTATTACTATGAACCAACAGGCACGGCGGCAGTCCCTGCCACAGCACATCCAGATCACTCAGATACGATTCGCTCGCCTCTTCACTGTGCGACGTTCCATCACTCGGTGACGGCAGCGTCGTGAAAACAACTGCTGTCTCCGCGCTCTGCTGGATCATCAGCTCGTTCAGTATTAGATGCTGCGCCCGACTGGGCAGGTCATTGAACGATAGCGGCACGGCCGCTTGGCTAGGGTAGCCAGATGCTGGTTCTGCTGGTTCTGCTGGTGCACTTCCAGGGACGCATAAATGACGGGTGTAAATCGAGTCAGCTTTACTCTCCGGCGAGGATCGAGGCGGCGGTGAGTTGGCAGCAAACATAATAGACGGACCCCCAGTCTCGTCCGCATTGACTCGGGGTTCCGGAATGGGCGACGAGCTGAAGCGATTGCTGGATGGGGAACGACTGGGTTTAGGCCGTACAGGTGGTGCTTGGCTTCGGGGTGTAAAACTTCCCTCTTCGGAAGGGGGAATGACAGATACCATTGATGGTCCTGCAGCATCAGAAGCTTCGTCTTCCCCTCCAAGAGAAACTGTACCCGGAGATAGTGCGGATTGACTCGGACTCAAGATGCGTGGCGCTTGGACCCCGGTCATTGTGTTACTGTCAGCCTCATCCCTGCGGTTGTCATCATCATAGTCACCATCGCTGCCGCTACCCGGGTCATCGACGTATGGCTCAAATGTGCTTTCATCGCTATCGCTGCTGCTGCTATCACTGCTATCACTAGTGATATCTGTGATATCATAATCCACGAGCGCATCAAGGAGATGGTGTGTTTGCATTCCGAAGTTAACGTTGCCAGTTGTCCGGAAACTGGAAATCGACCGGCGACGGCCGTCCGACGATTTAATGAACCGCTTCAATCCACCAATCTTGGGGTTCTGCACCTTTGATCCGCCATCGTGGCTTGACGGATGCCAACTGGAAACACGACCCGGTCGATTAGGACCCGAGCCTCTTTGAACCCTGGCGCTGCGGCGTATCCTCTGAATCTCTTGCCACCATTCTTCATCCTTCAGCACTTCATGGGCCTTCTCCCGGGCCTTTTCCATTCCCGGCGACTTGTCGCCGTTAACGATTGCTCGATACATTTTCGAATCACCACACGCCAGCCAGAAAACCATGACTTCAGCTTCGATTCTTAATTTCTCGAGAAGCGCTTCAACCCGTATACGCTCGTCTTCGACATCCGTCTCATACTCGACGAAGACTGATACCCGTAGCTTGTAAGATTTCTTCCATGACGGAACCGTGTTGAGAATGCATCCCAACTGAAGAATCAGGGTATAAGTGTCGAAATTTGTCGTAAGCACATTCCGTTTGCTTTCGCTATCCGCTCCCAGCGCCGCAGACATCTGAATGGGCCAGAGATCAATGTACCGTTTGGTATTCTGCCCGTCAGCTCTAGGGAACTCAAGATGCTCGAATCCTTTAGCAACCGCAACGTTGATCCGTAGCTTGAACAAAAGATCGTCGAGGACAGTCACGTAGCTCTTACAGCTCATCCCGGGCTCCTCCCGGTTAGCATTCAGCGTTTCCACCAATGACTGTCCTCTGCGGAACTGATCAATAATGACAATATTAGGCCGCATCCCTCCCAGACCCGCATTCAAGACGACGTTCCGGATGCCCCATTCAGCAGATGGAGACACGGCCATGTTGACGAAAGCTTTGACTTTCGAGGATTCTACAAATTTTGTCCACGTGCTCTGCTGGCGACGTGCTTCAGGAACAGCCGCGGTGAAATCCTCCGTCACGAGGACGTGGCCAAGCACAAAAAGCGCCCCCTTTTTCAGAGAGTTGCAGAACGAGACCATTTTCTCTTGGTCGTCAATATTGCTAACGAACAGCAAAATCTGTGGGCGCCAAAATTTGACATGCTCTTGTCGTAGACGGAGCAAGTATTTGCGAACTTGGTGGTAGATCAGACTCTGGCTGACGTCGCCCCACGGCTTGGGAGGCGAGTTGTAGTGAATCAGTAGGAATAGCAAGGCTAGAATACCAACGCAACCTCCCGCGTAGAGACCGTCCACAAAAAACATGCTAATTCCACTGACTAACGTCCCGGCAGCGGCAGTTTGCCAGTTGAAATAATGGAAAGACGGCCGGAAGTTAGGAGCAGAACCAATCTTGAGCAGGAAACACGCTAAGTTAGTCACTAAGAATGTCATGAGATAAGTCATCGTGACAAAAGACGCGATCTGGTTGATGTCGAAAAGCATCGTAAGCTGGGCGACAACATAGGTCATGACGATGGCGTAGATAGGCTCGTCATGCTTCTTGGTGCCTTGACTGAAGATACTCAGCCCTGGAAGTAGGCTGTCTCGAGCAATGGCCTGGAGGAGCTTTGCGGAACCGATCACTCCCATTAGTGAAGAGAAAAAGGACGTCGCAAACTCTCCGAGAAGAATGACCACACCAGAGAGATTGACCACTTGCATAACGTTGGCATTATTATAAAGAGACGCTCTTGTTATTGATGCAGCCATGGCGAGAATAACCAGAGTATAAGTGATAAAGGTCAATGCCAAACCAGAGAGTGTCCCGGAGGGAATTGACCTGCTCGGATTTCTGAGGTCTCCGGACATGCTGGCACCAGCAAAGATACCTCCGGTAGCAGGAAACAGAATTCCAAAAAGATCCTGGAAATTCTCCCGTCCGGGAATCTGGCTGCCAGCCGCATGCTTCGTAAACCTTGGCTTGAGATTCTCCATCAATGTTCGAAGACTCAGTCCCGTAAATTCAATCCCAAGTCGTGGAACGCTGAAAGGCTGCATGACCAATACTGATACCGGGATGCTAAAGGTTGCCACCAGCAAGACTACAAGTAATCCATTGCTTGCTCGAGAGAATATGGAGCTTCCGGCCAAGCAGATCCCGGTGCATAGGATCAAGACGACGGTCCCCCAGAGGTACTCCCACCAAAATCCTTCCTGGAGGAAGTTGCCCCAAGTTCCAGATTCTGCTCCGAAGTTCTGCGCAAAGCAGTCCACCAGACCGACAGCGTTCATTCCGGTGTTCAGAACATATCCCAGGTAAAACACAATGCCAATGGAACCACCAAATTCCGGCCCCAAAGACCGAGAGATCAAATAGTATGCGCCGCCCCCTTTAACAGTTCCATTTGTTGCAATGGCAGAAAGAGACATGGTGGTGACAAGGTTGATAGTATAGGAAACGAGAAGTAGTCCTATTCCCCACCACACTATTAGCAGCTGCAGCAATGCACGGACTGAAAACACCACTCACCCAGAATTCCCAGCAAGCCAGCCTGCCCGAGGATAAACCCAAAACGCAAGAACATCAGAATGCTCAGTACGTTCAGCGTCGTGGGGACAAATACTCCCGAGAATGTTCCCAGCTTGTCAGATCCCTCCACCTTGGGTCGACTCTGGGCCTTACTCCTGTCGCGGCTAGACTCCCTTAACGGACCAGCAGAGAGCGACAAATGGGATCGTGCCCTTTCCTGCCCTTCACCCTCTCCATTGTCCCGTTTATCCCACCAACGAAAGAGACTGCTAAAAAAGTTCGAGGGTAATGAATGACGCTGACGGTTGGATGGTCGAGATGACGAGGAGTTCAATGGTTCATATGGTCGAAATGATAGCCTGTGGCGCCAGGACTGGAGGAACCCGCTGCTCTCCTCAGGCGATGCATGCGCCGAATCACTGGGAGCAAGCCTGGAGACATCCTCTTCGGGGGTTCGCGTCGAGAAATTGGGTGTTCTCCGAGACATGGACCGGCCGTCTGCCATGAGACTGATGCGATTGATGTTGATAGTCTCAGGTACCTGGAGACGAATTTCGGTTCCTTCACATAAGAACCGTAAACATTGAAATGCCTCGGCAAGCCGGGGTTTCAGATTCGTAACAAAACAGAAAAAAAGATCGCTAAAAACAGAAAAGGGTCGAAACAAGTAACAAAGAGCAACAATACATGTAAACCGATGCCCTTCACAGACCAAAAAGGGAAAATTCGCACCCGGCGTTGGCGATGACCTCACCGGACAAACAGTGCAAATCAGCCAATCCACCGCCAGTCACGGGATTCGACGCTTTGGCTAGCTGAACGGTGAAAGAGTCCGAATCGCTTCATTTCTCCAACTTTCTCGTTCTCTCGCGTGGCTTTCTTGAACAGGCTCATTTCGTTCGTGAGAAGTGTCTCTGGGTTCTTATCTGGTGTTGCTCGTATCTAATCGGCTTTATTCGTCACTTCTCCGCTACTTAAGCGCGTCGCTCGTTATCCCAAGAGTCAAGGTCTCCGCGCATCTAACCGTACGAATTTACAAGTTGGTATCACGATCCCTAGCATAACCCGACAGTTGAAGTGGAAATCGGAAAGAGAAGGTTAGACACGGTGGTGTTTGAATAATGGCACAATCCCTAGATAACGGAGAGGGCTCGTCCCGCCAACCTCGATCAATAACACCCGTGCCGATCTCTGAGATGCGTTCTGGATCTCCTTCGGTAAATGGAAGACCGCGGCAATCTTCAATGGCACGGTTAGCGTCCGGGATACCTTCGTCTCCGGGATCGTCTCCGGCTAGACATCCACCATCGCATCCATTGCCCACCGGACCGGACCCAGACCTTCAGAGAGTCGAAAACCAGTCCTCCTTGCCAGGTCCTGGACAATCAATGATCGCGTCAGGTCTCCAGGATATCCCAGGTCGGTCATCCCCAAGACTCGAAACACAGATAGGGCGAACCGCATCTCCCGCTTTGCGGCCGGTCAAGTCCATCTACGGCTCCTTTGACAACAGATCCAACACGGATAGCCCAAGCCACGCTGGAGCTCCGGTTGAGGACCCAGAAGTCGTCAAGAGACACTTGGTACAGCCCCATCAGGGTTCGCCTAGCCGGCCCGCGAGTTCCTGGCAAGACTCGACGAGTAATGGCGACGATGAGTTCTCTAGCTTGAAACTCCAGGGAGGCGATGTGACGAGACAGATATACAAGTGGGCGCAACAGGCAGAGGAAGGGGATCTTCCAGGGAAACCACACCGAAGCAAGAGTTTTAGTCACACGCGGCCACTCCCGGACGCCGAAACAATGGACATCAACACGATCCGGGTGCCAGGAGGATTCCGGAGAGACCATATACGAAGAACGGTAGGCTATCCCTATGAAGAGAGTATCAGTGGCTCAAGTGCACGACCAGCACCGGCTCAGCCTCACTTGCCGACAAGCAACTTCCTCGAGTTCTTGACCCTTTACGGCCACTTCGCAGGTGAAGAACTCGAAGAAGACGATGAGGTCTTGGGTCCAAACGAGTATTTTGGCTCTGATACGTGGGACGAAGGCGAAGGCGGAGAGATAGGAGAAGAAACTGCCCTTCTTCAGCGACGAGATGCGGCCGGCAAGAGGGTACGCAAGCCCCGAGGTGTGACTGGAACCAATGACAGGTGGGGAGCGGCTATGCTTCTGCTCAAGGCTTTCATGGGCACTGGTGTTCTCTTTTTGCCCAAGGCCTTTTTTAACGGAGGCATGCTATTCAGCAGTTTGGTGCTGCTTGGTGTATCGCTTCTTAGTTACTATTGTTTCGTCCTTTTGGTTAATACTCGATTGAGGGTTGACGGTTCATTTGGTGACATGGGAGGTATTCTTTACGGAAAGCAGTTTCGGCACATTATCCTAAGTTCAATTGTGATCAGCCAACTCGGGTTCGTGGCTGCGTACACGGTCTTCACGGCCGAAAACTTGCAGGCATTTATCCTTGCTGTCAGCAAGTGCAAATCATTCATCGACGTCAAGTGGTTGATATTATTGCAAGTGCTTTTTTTCCTTCCCCTTTCATTATTCCGTGATATCAGCAAACTCGGATTCACTGCCCTCATTGCAGATGTATTCATCATGCTGGGCCTGGTTTATCTTTACTACTACGATGCCACTCATATTGTATCGCAAGGCGGCGTCGCAGACATGAAGAACTTCAACTCATCTTCATGGACGCTCTTTATCGGAACTGCTATCTTCACGTTTGAAGGCATTGGTCTTATTCTTCCAATCCAGGAATCCATGAGGCGTCCGGAGCAATTCCCCGGTGTCCTCGCTCTTATCATGATAATCATCACGACCATCTTCCTCTCCGCAGGTGCTCTCAGCTACGCAGCCTTCGGATCCGAGACCAGAACTGTCGTACTCCTCAACATGCCACAAGACAACAAGTTCGTGAACGCAGTCCAGCTTCTCTACTCAATGGCGATTCTCCTGTCTACCCCACTGCAGCTGTTCCCGGCTATTCGTATCATGGAGAACGGAATGTTCACGCGTAGCGGTAAGTACAACCCACGCATCAAATGGCAGAAGAACTGTTTCCGTTTCTTCCTCGTTTTGTTCTGCGCTGTCATTGCGTGGGGTGGCGCCGCAGACCTCGACAAGTTCGTGTCGGTTGTTGGCAGTTTTGCTTGTGTGCCTTTGGTCTACGTGTACCCGGTAAGCTTCTTTTATCCCCTCTAACAGTCTCCATAATAACTAACGTTGAATTCTAGCCACTCCTACATCTCAGAGGCTGCGCCCGATCCCATCGACAAAAAATCCTGGATATCACTCTCGCATGCTTTGGCATCATCGGCTGTATCTACACGACCACACTAACCCTCTCCAACTGGGTTAGCGGAGAAGTTGAGAAGACTCCTGGATACTGTGATTCATGAATTATGACATGACTCCCTTACGATCATTATACGACTAGCAACTCTCTTGCTTTTCTTTTGCAGGCTAGGGCATTTGTCTGTTTAGCCATGTTTTTAGCTTGCCTTTTCGGCTTTTGGATGAAAATATGACGGTTTGTGTATTTGTGTATCTTTGGTTTGTGTTTTTGAGCATTGCGTGGTAGAATGGCTTGTTAGAATGTCCCAATAGTCAATACAGAATGCATTTTAGAATACTCTTGTTTGTTTAGTTATCTCCATTGGATATATCATTCTGTTCACTTACCATCCATTATAGTCCAGCTAAATTGAGGATATCTCCAACGTAACATGCTAAATGGCTCACAGTTCAACAAGTACCGAAACCAATGCATGCATACAAGCTATACAACTATATAAAAACAAACTCAAAACCATAATACCCCGTCATTACTTTTATGCCCCAGCCTCAGTAGCCTCCTTACCCGTCTGCGCACCGCGCGCAGCAAGCTGAGCTTCCCGGCCTCCCCAGCTATCAATCAATTAGTTTCATTTCTTTGTTTCTTCCGGACGCTAGTCCGCGATGCTTATGGGTAAAGTGGGGAAACGCACTTCCAGTAGCTCAAGTACCGATAACCTTGCGTAGCTTGAGCAGAGAAATTGACAAGGTGGCAGCCGAAGAGGAGGTAGTTGGCAGGCGAGACGGCAAGGGCATAGCGCATGAAGGTGGCCGAGTAGATGGTGAGAGCGCCGGTCATTGTTCCGGAGATGCTGGTTGGTATTAGTGTGTGTCTGTGTCTGGGGCAGGACGGGTGCGATGAAAGAGCGATTCGAGGGTACTGAGGGGTGTAAGAGCGTACATTTCAGGGTCCTTCTGGGTGTCCATCACAGCAGCGACGGGGATACCAAAGTTGGAGACCGGGCCCCAGAAGTCTAAACGCCGGGATAAAGTCCGTTAGCTATTTGTCCGCGATACACATGTAGATAACCCTGTTCATAGGGTTGGTGTTCATTCTGGCGATCTATTGGCCGTCTTTGCATATACAGATGGTATCAAATGTGCATGGTGGTCTCGTGTCTCGGCTGGAATGCATTATTGAGGGAACTCAGGCGGGTAATACGTACGGGTCGAGCAGACATAGTCCAGAACCTTGTTGGAGCGGATCTTCGCATTGATTGCCTTGATCGCGGCGGCCATTTTTCCAAGTATCAAAAAGAAACGAGAAAACGTGGGAGAGAGTGGGAGAAGAGAGCTTGCGCTGAAACTGACCGTTGACGGACAAGAAGGTGGGCGTTTCCGCTGCCAAACTCATTTCGGAGTTAACCGGCTTAGGGTCACGTGCATCAGATGCGGAGTCGTTTTACGGAAGTACGCCATACAGCATACGCGCATTTGCAAAAGAATAAAAACTATTATAATTGCGCAAAATATCCATGTATGTATCTAACATTACTTCTGGTTGATCCCGGAAAAGGTTTGGTCGACCTTGGGCTTCGTCCTCTTGGGGTCATGTCTGTCAACCGCACGCGCCGTAACGCCTTTGCCTGGTAGAATATCGGTATGCTCGACCTGTTAACGGTCGAATAGGATAAATCTTTTTTGTTTTTGTCATTTTCCTTTTCCTCCTTCTCGTCTTGTCACCAATTGAACAGCCTGCCGTGCTCACTTCGCGGTCGAGAATTCAGTTCGAATGTAGCCATGTTATTCTTTCTTCCCACGATCAAATCACCGTCCAAATCCTGGCGGAGGGAATCCTCGTCCTTGTCCCGGAGGCTGGAAGCCCGGAGGTGGTTGGAAAGCACCCGCTGTAGTCTAATGTTAGTATAGCCTTCATGTGAGATCGGCTTGGAAACACTTACGAGGAGCACCCTGTGGAGCAAATCCTGGAGGGGGGCCAAAGCCAGCTAAATTATTAAAGTCAGTATGCCACCTGAGTCTTTCAATAATCATTGTGAAAGGGAAGCTTACGGGGACCTCCCGGAGGGGCTCCACGTCCAGCGAATCCCGGCGGCGGACCACCAGGGAAACCAGCCGGAGGGAAGCCAAAACCACCCGGCGGGGGAGCACCAGCACCAACACCAGCAGCAGGACCTCCAAGACCAATAGGAAGGCCTCGTCCAGCGGGCTTGCTGATACCTGGGCCAGCTGCGAGGGTAGCGGCGGCGGTCGCAGCGCCAGGCACACTTGTTCCGAGTCGCGAAGAGGGATCGGCTGGTGGAGGACCGTCGACGGAGCATGAAACAACGTGGGTACCGCGCACGATTGTAAGTCCAAGGGTGCGCTTCTCTTCAGCCTCGACGAGTGGAGCGTTGTTCGGGCCAGCCGCGGGCTTGGATTTCCGCTTGACGCGACGGAATTCTTCTGTATCGGCAAGGACGATGTTCATGTGCTGTGATGATACAGTTAGTTAGACACTACAGTGGCTATTCTGGATTAGCCGTTACCAATTACCTTATCAAACGCGAGCATTTGTCCGGTCATTTGTCGGCCATCATTGAGCGTCACTCTCATCTGGTAGTTGATCTGTCACAGCAATTAGTTTCTCCCATCACTGAAGCTAAGCACCAAGGGCGCTCAAGAAGCTTACGAGGTTTTGCTAAAGATGAAAAGAAAAGACGTTAGCCCAGCCCTGATTCCCTGCGCGTAACGAAGCCAGCAATGAAGATAACTCACCATCTTGCCCTGCCTGTTGGCCGCCATGATGGCAGGAAAGTGCGCACGAGTGCGACTTTAGCCAAAGATACCAAAGAATGAATAAATAAAAGACAGAAGAAGGTGCCTTCTTGTCTGTCTTTCTGTCTGCTGGAGCTCTGCTATCGCCTTTAGCTAAGCTGTCGTTCTCTGCTGCGGCCACCCAAAGTCGGGATCGGACGCGGCTCTGCGGTTAGCGCCAAATTATGCCAAGACGCTAAGGGCTTTCTCGCTTCCCACGTCCAGCCCACACAGAACACTTACTTTTTACAACTCTTTCTTTTTCCGTGTCTTTCAAACTTCAGTCGACCAATTCAACGCCCAAGGAGTCATCATGGTATGTTCCTGACCATACAAAAAATATAATACAAATATTCTTAATTTTGAACATTTCTAATTTCGCTATGCAGTCGGACGGAAAGGACAAGAGCGCCAACCCCATGCGCGAGCTGCGCATCCAGAAGCTGGTTCTGAACATCAGTGTTGGTGAGTCTGGTGACAGACTTACTCGTGCCGCGAAGGTGCTTGAGCAGCTGTCTGGTCAGACTCCGGTTTACAGTAAGGCGCCCTTTTCCCTGGAATCGAGAAAGAAAAAAAAAATTTTTTTTGTTGGAGGCCTGGACTGACATGAATTTGCGTGACTAGGCAAGGCCCGCTACACCGTCCGTACCTTCGGTATCCGTCGTAACGAAAAGATCTCCGTTCACGTTACCGTCCGTGGCGCCAAGGCCGAGGAGATTCTCGAGCGTGGTCTCAAGGTCAAGGAGTACGAATTGAGAAAAAGGAACTTCTCCGAGACCGGTAACTTCGGCTTCGGTATCAGCGAGCACATCGACTTGGGTATCAAGTACGACCCCGGCATCGGTATCTACGGTATGGACTTCTACTGCTGCATGTGAGTGCACCTTTCCCGACTGCCGCAAAATACTCCAAGTGGGAGGAAGAGACTGATTGATTCTCAACAGGACCCGTCCCGGTGAGCACGTCGCCAAGCGCCGCCGCTGCAAGTCCCAGATCGGTGTCAACCACCGCATCAACAACACCGAGACCATCAAGTGGTTCAAGAACCGCTTCGACGGTATCGTCCGGTAAATATGATATCTCCTTCATGGGTCTTCTGGGGAAAAGCGTGTGGGGGTCGTGTTTATTTTACGATGAATTGAACAAAAACTTTTCTTCCGAAAGAAAAAAGGGCGGCAGGCGTTTTCTCGTTCCGGGCATGTCGCACTCCAAATACTCCTTACCACGACATAAGGTTAGATGTGTTTTAGCGATATCAAACTACCAAGTTTTACAGAAAAACGCATCTACTTTTCACAATGAAGGCTTCACGAAGGGTGAATGTTTCCGCATAACCATTGTTGAAAAGATGTTTTTGATGATGCTTTTCTTTTCTCCGTGCACCGTTGTGGTCATGGAGGCGGCCGTCGGAGGCGAGGAAGGGTCTTCCAACAAGGCTTTTCCTCTTTCCACCAAACAACCATTTCAACCACGGTTGTTTGTAGTCCTCTTTTTCCAGGTGTCAGAACCTCGTCCATTCTACTCGAGACCGTAAGGGACATGTGCCCTAAGTGGCTGTCCAACGGTAGATTATGTCCGGGATGTCCATCGACTGATTCGTAGACAATTGGTATCGTAGTATTTGCTCTTCTGTCCTGCTGCATATTGGAACCCTACCTTGATGCTCATACCACCTTACGCTTGTTCTCCTTCGGTTTCTTATCCTCAGCTCCTACCTATACGCCATGGTATTTCAACATATCAACATACTACTCCCCAGACGAAGGTTGTCAATAACGCCGAAAGGTCGATTAAGATGCATTGGATGGAGTCTCTATTGCCCTTCATTGATCCACAATTGAATATTTTGAAGACCAAATCAGTAAAGATAGCTTATATGGTCACGTTGCGCCGGCAAGACCCGCGACCCCCAAGGGCCGTAAACGCCATGGCTAGCCGGCCGGTTCGCCTAAGCTGTCCACCTCCAGACGTGCGCGTCTTCGTTAGCATCGAGGTGAAGAAGGGCTGTGGAGATTTCGTTGGTGGCATTTTTGTTGTGCGGTTTTTCAGAACTGACAAACTTCTGGAATGAAGGAACACTCTTAACGCGGAGAAAGGCGGGTCGTGGCACGGATTTTGGCAATAAGGTCTTCTTACGAAGTTGGACAAAATACATTGAGAGATCATTCTCATGAGTTAGCTTGAGAACGGCATATCTAAGATTCAGGTTACAGAAGTGCTTTATTATAATAAACCATGAGGTATCTTACGTTATTTCTCAATTATCATTGAGAACCAACCCTAATCTAAACTCTAACCATATGAATGAGGGACTTCGGTTGGTGCAAGTTTGGACAAATTAAGACAGTCAAAGCCGTGTGTTATGTATGAGTTAGAGGTGATTACTCATTCATCTTCTATTACGCATTTATATACACTGTCCAGCTACGAATCCAACTTCCACTTCTTTTCACGTCCCATATCAGCATACCACCCCTTCACATAATCCAATCCAGCATGCGGCCCATAAACTTCCACCTCCCACTGCGGCATAGGCGCCGGCAACCCAGTCTCCTCTAGACACGATTCCCTCAACACCTCGAGATCCCCACCACGATCATACTTCGAAAATTCACCCCCCTGAGCACGCATGCTCGCTCTCAACAGCTCCGTTTCCTCCACCGCGACACTGAGATTATCAGTCAGGACGACGCCGTATCCGGTTTTTGCACCTTGAACGGTAACGAGATTACGTTGGACTTCAAGGGCGACTTTTTCAGCGGGACGGGTTAGAGGGTCGCCGAGTCCACCTCCACCCCATGTTGTCCATTCGAGAAGGTCGCCTGGGTTGACGCCGATATGGTCGCATTTTGAGGGGAGAATTTCTACATCTATCCCCCCCGGGTCGGTAGAATGTCGGTATAATGCCTTTCGAGATCGTTGCCCTGGTTTTCCTCCCTTCAAGCCCCACGGTTTCGTGAACCATCTGTCGTCGTGGAGACTGATCTCACCGCGTGAGAGAAACCGGTATAGCGTGCGTTGGGCGTTACCGCCGCGGTAGAACCCCGGTCCGCCGGTATCAGGGACACCTCCGTTTGCTTCAATGCGCAGCGGATAATTCAATTCGATACTCTCTGTAGGAATGGACTTGATAGCCGGGAAGAGACAGTGGCAGTCTGGTCCATCGCCTGCCTGTCGTGCAGGAACGCCGCCGAAACCAATCTGATACAACTGGTACCATTCACCATCGGGTTTGAACCCGGAATAGAAGAAGTGAGGCGAGTCGCTGAATCCCGCGGCGGCTTGATAAGCATCATCTTTCTGGCCAATAAGGGCTTGCACCATGTCCAGCGTCCGTCCTAGGAAATGCGTTCTGCAGGATATGGGCGCCGGACGTACTGGTTTCAGGACCGTTCCTTCGGGAATGTACACGTCGATTAAATCATGGAAGCCGTCGTTGATTATTGTTCCCGGTGCTGCGGCAGTGATCAGGTAAAACCCGATGAACATTTTGAACATGGTCTCGGAGAGGTAGAAGTTGATGCTGTGCGAGCTCTGTGGGGAGGTTCCACTCCAGTCGAATTTGAGGCCGTGGTTGCCGACTTTCTTCATCGAACAGGTCAACGCCCAAGGACCGATGCCGTGGCCATCGTCATCAACGAAATCGGTAAATGTACTTTCCTTGTCGTCGAATTGGCGCTCGACTATCTTGGCGAATCCGGTGCGGTTCCGGTACAGGAGTTCGTCGCAGGCGGCTAGGTATACCTCGCATCCGAAGCGGGTGGCTAGTTCGCGGACTCGCGTAGCTGCCATGTTGCAAGCGGCGATGATAGCGGTGACATCGGACCGGCACCATGCTGGTTGTCGAGAGTTCCGGCACAAAAGCTCTAGAAGGTCCAAATTCACAACTCCTTTGGAGTACAGCTTGATGCACGGGACCTGGATACCATCGTCGAAGACAGAGGTAGCATCAATCGACATACTCCCTGGCACCATACCACCGACATCAGTCAAGTGACCAAACTGCGAAGCCCAGCCGATGAGCTTACTCTCGTAGAAAATGGGTAGGAGCACAATAACATCGTTAAGATGGCTAATCGCCCCTTTAACCTGGTAGACATCATTCGTGATAAACACATCGCCATCCTCGATGCTGCCATGCCAAACTTCTAAGAACTGGGTAATAAAGCTGCCGAACTGGCCTACCAGCATCTTGCCCTGGCTGTCGGTGATTACATTGAATTCGTCTTGTTGCTCGCGGATGGCTGGAGACATGCTGCAGCGGAGCATCATCTTGTCCATTTCGCCGCGGATGGAGGACAGGGCGGCTGAAACGAGGGTTGGGATTAGCGGGGTATTGCGGACGAGCTCTGATGAGGATACGTCGTTGCGTTGCTGGATTGGGCTGGCTGCCTCTTCATCGACTGGTCTGATGATGATGTTTCCAATGCTGTCGATTTCTCCGTAATATCCCGGTAAAATCAGCGTGTTACTGTCCATTTCTGTCACGATACATGGTCCGACGATGTGGATACCGTCTTTGTTGATCTTATACCGGTCCCATAGAGCTGCCTGTTGTTCTTGTCCTTCAACTATGATTGTCTGCTCGCCAAGTTTGGCATCTGCAGGTGGTTCCCTCACCGATGCCTTGTCCAAGTGCTGCATCTTCACACCGGGCGAAGCATCCTCCAACACAACACCGAGTCGCATCAGTTCCAGCTCAAATCCTGGAAGAATGTACGTGAATAGCTGCCGGTGCTGCTGCTCGAACTTTCCTCGCAAAGCTGCATGCCATGCCTCTGTATCGAGGATTAATTCATCCGCTTCCAAATTGACGGTAACAGACAATTCCTGTCCCTTGTACCGAAGATCTGCCTGATGGTTTGTGTTCCAGGTAATTGGCCATGATTCAGTGGATGCTGACCTCCGCAGCGTTTCTCTACACTGCTGCTCCAGCTTGGCGTACTGCTCTCGCAGCTCGGTAGAAGTCGTGTCAGAGAGGAGTCGGATAAAGGTAGCAGATTGCTCATGGCTGAGCTTTGTGGTCACATCACCCTGGGCACATAGTGTTCCCGGTGACTGGGGAATGATAACGGGCCATGCGCCGAGCAACTTGCCGACAGCGTTGGCGTGCAATGGTCCTGCACCTCCGAATGCCACCAAAGCGAATTCCCTAGGATCGTAGCCCTGCTCGACAGAAACCAGTCGGAGGGCGCCATACATCGTCTCATTGACGATCTTGATAACATCCTCGGCCGTTTGAGTAACTGGGAGGCCCATTTGCGTCGCAATGCTCTCCACAGCCGAGACGGCAGACTTCACGTCCAGCGCGAACTCACCACCAAGGAGCGTTTTAGGTAAGTATCCCAATACCAGATTGGCGTCTGTGGCAGTTGCCTGCTGTCCTCCTGCACCATAGCATGCAGGTCCCGGCTTTGCGCCTGCGCTTTCAGGACCGACGCAAAGTGTCTCAGTAAGCTCCAAATAAGCCGCAATAGAACCTCCTCCAGCACCGACAGTTTTGACATCGACGGCGGGCGAGCGAACAGACAGGGTATCGACGACCGTCTCTCGTCGCAGTTGCGGCTTGCCGTCGTAGATAAGCGTGCAGTCTGTGGACGTGCCACCCATATCAAGTGTAATCAGTTTCTTGTACGGTGTGTACTGCGCTACAGTGTCTGCAATCCCCTTAGCACCTCCAGCCGGTCCGGACATGAGGATATTCACAGGCAGCTCCCCAGCAAGTGTAAGACTCGTCAAACCGCCATCACTCTTGAGAACACGAATCGTCTCACTCTCCGTCGCAAGCTTCCCAGCCAAGTTTCTTAAATACGTCTGCACAACAGGCTTAACCAACGCATTCGTACAAGTCGTCACCGTCCGCTCATACTCCCCCACCTCACGCAGCACATCAGCAGAGCAAATAACCGCCACATCACCCCCCAATTCCTCCCGAACAATTCCTGCCACAATCTGCTCATGCTTATCATTCCCATGCGAATTCAGCAACGAAACCGCCACAGCCTCAGGCCTATGTCTTGCCGCCATCTCCCGCACCCGCACCTTCAAATCCGCAACATCCACATCCACAACCGTCTCCCCTCGAACAGACATCCGCTCACGACACTCAACAACCCTCTCCAACGGTACAATCGGTTCCGGCGGTGTATAATGGATCCAAGCACCCAGGCCACCGGGAATATGCGAGCGTCTTAGCGCGAGGATATCCCTATGACCCGCAGTAACGACCAGCGCCGTGCGTGCGCCTTTGCCCTCGAGCACGGCATTGGTCGCTGTCGTCGTGCCGTGGTGGATGAACCGGAACGTGCCGTTGAAGCTCTCGTCACGCTGCTGGAGTTGGCGGCGCACTTTGGCGATGCCGTCGAGGATACCGATGCTTTGGTCTGGGATTGTGGTGGGGACTTTGGCCCGAAGGGTGTGGCCGATGGGGGTGAAGACGAAGACGTCTGTGAAGGTGCCGCCAACGTCGACGCCTAGTTGGTAGCCGTAGCCTGTGTCGTACATGTCGGAGACTTGTTCACGGAAAGTCAAGGATAGCAAAGAGCTGGAACTATGCTGTAGACAGGGACATGCGATGCGGCTACAATGCAATTTAAACAATAACAGCAGCCAGTTTATATCAATTGAGGCAATTTAACGGCATGCATGAACCGAATGCATCGCTTGTCTATGCGCACCAGTGGTGTGAATACGAGGTGTTGAAGATCGCCCCCATAGCCAGGTTTATTGGCTCGGTTGGCACTTTCTGGCAGAAGCGTAAAAAGTACCGTTATTCGGGTGTTTGAAATATGATAGACGAATACTCTAAATCAAGAGGGGTTAAGGCTCTTTTTTGTTGTTGTTGTTGTTATTGTAAGGGTAATGGTGTTACATCGCGCCGTGCTATGTTGATAAGCCGGATTTGTTCGGTAACCACGTTTCTTGGGTTGACATGGTTGTACTCCGCATATTAAAGGTTTTACAGTCCTGTGTCATTGTCTAGGCTCGAGTATTTGAGATTGGTCGATAAGGAGTCCAGAGGCGAAGTGAGATAAGTATACTCCGAGGTATACTGAGTACAAAATACGGAGTCGTCTTCTCAGCCGCATCGGCATGCATCTGCGTTCAAAGCACATGCAAATGCAATGCATTCCGAAAAACGGATAGTGACTATCCTCGGAAAATAGTCTCTTCTTTAGCATGACTCGTTATCCTGATTCCTGTTGGTCTCGGCTCGAGTACGCGCCCTTATTCTATCTATACTACATTAACCCTTATCTCGTACATGGCCGTCAGTCCATACCGATAGTTATGACAACGAGAGTAGAGTATGTCTATAAACACGTGATTAACATGGAAATCATGTGCTATTTACCTGAATAGGAAAGCTGACGTCAACCATAGGACTCCTCTTCTCCTCACTTATTCCTCTCTTTGATATTGCCAATCCACGGATACCCCAGACCACTATCCAATAAGCAGTATGTGTAGTGTCTTACAATGTCATCATCATAAGTCATCGTGCGATTCACGGTCGACATCCCCTCCCAGCGATGAATATATATACGCACGACTCTCGGGGCTATATCCGGGCCATCCTAGCGTCCATAAGTATCTCGTCGATTTACCGTCATTGTATGTCTACCGATGTTGAATCATGATGATCGTGTGGGTTCCTGACTGAAAAGTGTTAGGGCTTAACTAGTACTATGAACAATCAATTCCCGGTTTCATCGCAGACTACGACTACGACTATACCTACAGCGCCTTCTCCACCCAGACACTGGCACGGCTCCATCGGAGACAGACACGAGCATCATAACGTCTGGGTGAGAGGTGGTTCTCCCCAGGTTTACTATCCAGCAAGACGAGCTTCTTCGTCTAGTGAAGCATCGACGTCCAGTATGGATCGACGGGTATGTCCCTTCATCACCCCACTATCTTCCATTTCAACCAACAAGCTAACATGATGGACACGAATCCAGACATCTAGCGCCAATACCCCCTCCAACCCCAGCAACCAAAACACCGCTCCCCCCAGCGTCGGTGACCGCCGCCGATCCAGCAACGCGATGCTTTTCAGCGGATTGTCAACTCAAAAGAGAGACCCATTGAATACCAATATGGCGACGAGAAGAGAGAGTTGGAAGGAGCAGTCCAATCAGGGAGGATTTTTGTCGAAGTGGTGGGATGGGTATACCAAGGGTCATTAGTGGTTGCGTAGGGGGGTGTTTCGGATTGCGTGTTTACTGCGTTTTATGATTATGTTAAGTTTGTTTCTTGCTTGTATGTTGGATATCTGATGGCATGATCAATTCTCTACTCTCAATGTGATATACTATCTAATCTGTTCTGATATGCTCGGTTCGGCCTCCAAATCTACCCCCGACCAATCAACCCCGCAAATTGTACAACTCCAAGTTACTCCAACTCCTCGGCATAAAACCATCTCCATCCTCCATCCCTAACAGACATCCAGAAAACACAAAAGTATACAATAACAATGCAAACAACTACAAAACCACACCTCCACTCCCTCTCTCACCGTGGCTACATTCAAGGCCTCACCTTCTCCGCCGCAACTACAAACACCCCTCTCTGCCATTTCTTCAGCAACCTCCGCTACGGTCTTCCTGCGCAACGATGGCGCAGAGCATCTCCCCTTCCGTCTGATTATAGTTACGGGACGAAAGAGGAGCCGGGGAAGTGTGAGAAGGGAGCCGGGGTGTGTCCGCAGCCGGCGTTTTTGGGACCCGTGGACAGAAGTGGGTGGAGTGAGGATTGTTTTCAGGTTAATGTCTGGGTGCCTGTTGGGGATGCACCGGAGGGTGGTTCGTTCTTATATTTCCTCCCGGTTTGGGTATGACCGCTAATCAGTGTGAATGCTAGGATGGCCTGTTCTTTTCTACATCCGTACGTCTACCCCTCTCCCTCATATCCGTAAAACCAATTTAATCTGGTGTATGTAGACGGCGGTTGGCTCCAATTCGGCTCTCCCAACGGCTTCTCCGGCACAGGCCTCCTAGGCGACTCCCCCGTAAACACCATTATCGTCATGCCGGCCTACCGTCTTAACGTCTTCGGCTTCCTGTACTCCTCGGAACTAGAACACGACGCGGCCTCTGTCGGCGAAACGACAGGAAACCACGGTTTCTGGGACCAGCGACTCGCGCTAGAATGGACAAGAGACAACATCGGGCTTTTTGGTGGGAATAAGGAGAATATCACTGTTGCGGGATATTCTGCTGGTATGCCCTCACTCATCTCCATCCTCTCTTTATACCTATTTCAAGGGTAGGGGCTAACGATGACAGGCGCATACTCAACCTTCCACCAACTAACCTACGACCTCTCCCTCCCAGCTCAACAATCCATAATAAAACGCGCCTGCATCTGGTCCAACAGCCCCGCCGCCCAACCCAAATATCCTCCTGAAGCCCAATCCCAATTCAACGCCCTCCTCACAGCCCTCAACATCCCAATCATCCTCCCAGACTCCGAGAAACTAGCCCGTCTCCGCGCCGTCGACCCAGACACGCTGCTTATCGCGGCAACATCCACTCAATTCCACCAATACCGTCCAACATCCGACGGTGCGTTTGTCTCGCGGGATTTGTTCAAGAGCTTAGAAAACGGCAAGTTTGCGCAACGTTTCAAAGAACGCAACATAAAACTACTCTTGGGTGAAACATGCAACGAACCAAAACTCTACAGTCTCTGGTTTCCGCCAAAAGACAATACCCTAGATGCGCTGCGCACCCGACTCATCGCCGAATACCCAACATCCACCGTCGACGCTTTACTCGCACTGTACTACCCCGACAACAAACTCCCACCTGGCCAAGAAAACTGGGACAGCGATGCCTTCGGCCATATATACGCCGACATGCAAGTCTACAAGATACAGCGGGGGCTCATCCACTCACTCGTCTCGCATGGCGTCCCTGATTCTTCTATCTACCGCTATCGCGTAGAAATGCGCGTGAAATGCGCGGAGAAGCAAATCCCAATTGAATGGGGCGTTACGCACGCGACGGATCATTTTATTTGGTTCTGGGGGAATGGGGAGGTTCTTGAAGAGCGGGAGAAGGAGGCTGTTGGGAGGGCGTTGATTGGGCCGTTGGCGAGGTTTTTGGATGGGGACGGGGATATTGGGTGGGGGACTCAGAGTCATAGACAGATGAGGGTGTTGAAGGGGGATGGGGAGGTGGGGATTTGGGAGGATGGGTTCTGGGATGAGGCGATGAGGGTTTGGGGTGCTGTGCCGGAGATTAGGGATGGAAAGGAGAGTGCTCGGTTGTAGATAGACAATGGTCTGTAGTTAGGTTGTTATGACTGCTACGATGAGGTTTGCTGAATTGAATGAAATACATTCCAATGAACATCCGCTATATAAAATAAACGAAAATGAAACGCTCTAGAAACTCAAAACATCATAGCATCATGTGCTTAATTTGTACAGAGAACCCCACTTTTACCCAATTAGGCCTTGCTAATCTTGCAGATAAGATCCTGGCTATCAACAGAGTCGCCCTCCTTGACAAGCAAGCCGGATGCCTTGCCGCTGTGCGGTGCGGAGATCACCATTTCCTAAACTAGTCAGCATGTCTTTTTTTTTTTTTTTCGGGGGCTGTGGGGGCAAACTTACCATCTTCATGGCGCTAAGAACGGCAACAGGGTCACCCTTCTTGACCTCCTGGCCATCGTGCACACGGATCTCAACAACAACACCACTCATAGGAGCGCCAACCTGGCTGCTGTCGGCAGCATCGGCCTTAGGACGAGCAGTGTTCTCCACCGACGCCTTGTTGTCCTCAACGCTAACTTGGCGCACTTCACCGTTGACCTCGTAGAAGACTTCACGCTGGCCAGTCTGCTCCGAAAGCGGACCGATAGCCAGCAATTTCAGGATAAGCACCTTACCCTTCTCAAGCTCGACGTGGAACTCCTCGCCAATCTCAGGACGGGCCAGGAAGAAGCGAGTGGGCAGGACGGAGAGGTCACCATACTTCTGCACGAACTTCTTGTAGTCCTCGAAGACCTTGGGGTACATGGCATAGCTGGCCACGTCGCTCTCCGTGGCCGATCCGAACTTCTCGCGGATCTGGTTCTTGATGCTGGCCAAATCAAGAGGCTCCAGGTAGAGGCCAGGGCGCTTGTCGAGCTTGCGGCGGTTGCGGAGAGCCTTGGTACGCAGCGGTTCGGGGAAGCCACCGAAAGGCTGACCCATCAGACCCTCAAGGAACTCAAGAACGGAACCGGGGAAGTCAAGCTCCTCTGCGCGGGCGATAACGTCTTCAGCCGTCAGCTTGTTGGAGACCATGAACTGAGCCAGGTCACCGACAACCTTGGAAGTCGGAGTAACCTTGACAATGTCACCAAGCAGGTCGTTGGCGGATTCGTAGGCCTTCTTTGTCTCAGCCCACTGCTGACCCAGACCGAGCTGACTGGCCTGGAAGATAAGGTTGGTAAGCTGACCACCGGGGATCTCGTGCTCGTAGACCTCAGGATCAGGACCGGTCAGACCAGCCTCGAAGGGCGAGTACAGCAAGCGCAGCTGGGCCCAGTAGGTGTCGATGGCACGAACGTGAGCGAGGTTGAGCTTGGTGTCGAGTTCAGTGCCCTCCAGAGAAGCGAGGATGGCACCAATGCTGGGCTGCGAGGTCATACCCGAAAGGCTGTCAGTGGCAGCGTCGACGGCATCAGCGCCAGCCTGGGCGCAGGCAATCATGGAAGCCACACCAGTACCGGCGGAGTCGTGGGTGTGGACGTGGATGGGAAGGTCGGGGTAGCGCTCGCGGATACCACCAATCAGCAGGCGAGCGGCCTGGGGCTTGAGCACACCGGCCATATCTTTGATACCCAGGACGTGGGTGCCCAGCTGGACGATCCGGTCAACCAGGGCAAGGTAGTATTCGAGGTTGTACTTCTTGCTGGGGTTCAGCATGTCACCACTGTAGCAAACGGTGGCCTCGACAACACCACCGGCCTCGCGGACGGCCTTGATACCGACCTCGAGCTGGTCGACATCGTTGAGGGCGTCGAAAACACGGAAGATGTCGACACCATACTTCTTGGCCTGCTTACAGAAGTGGTAGATGGCGTTGTCGGGAAGCGACGAGTAGGCAACACCGTTGGCACCACGGAGCAGCATTTGGAAGGGAATGTTGGGGACGGCCTTGCGGAACTTGCGGAGACGGTCCCAGGGGTCTTCGTAGAGGAAACGCATGGCGACATCGAAGGTGGCACCACCCCAGCACTCCAAACTGTAAGCGTTGGAGAAGGCGTGGCTGGTCTCGTGGGCAATGTTGAGCATGTCAATGGTACGGACACGGGTAGCAAGGAGCGACTGGTGAGCATCACGCCAGGTGGTGTCCATAATCAAGCAACCCTTGTTGCTGCGCACAGCGCGGGCGAACGCATCAGGACCCTCACGGTCCAAGACATTCTTCCAGCCTTGCTGGCAGGGGGCGGAGACGTCCAGGGGCTTGCCAGAAGCGTCCAGGAGTGTAGGCTTGATAATGTCGCTCTTGAGCTTGGGCTCACCGATCTGGCCCTTGATGCTGCTGCCGTTAACAGCGACATCACCCAGGTAGGCAAGCAGCTTCTGGGCACGGTTCTGGCTGCCAACGAGGGCGAAGAGCTCAGGAGTGTCATCGATGAAGGTGGTCCAGCAAGTACCATCAATGAAGACGGGGTGGCTCAGCAATGAAGCCAAGAAGGGGATGTTGGTCTTCACACCACGGATACGGAATTCAACCAAGGCACGCAGCATCTTGCGGCGGGCAATCTCGTAAGTAGAGCCACGGCAAGTGCACTTGACCAACATGGAGTCGTAGTGAGGGGTGATGATGGCACCAGCAAAGCCGTTACCACCGTCCAAACGGACACCGTTACCACCTGCGGAACGGTAGACCTCAATCTTACCGGTATCAGGGGAGAAACCCTTGGAGGGGTCTTCGGTGGTGATACGACACTGAACAGCGTAACCGCGAATGGAGATGCGGTCCTGGGTCAAGCCAAGCTGCTCGAGGGTAGCACCAGCAGCAATCTGGATCTGGGCGGCAACGATATCAATACCGGTGATTTCCTCGGTAATGGTATGCTCGACCTGGATACGGGGGTTGATCTCGATGAAGTAGTAGCGATTCTGCTGGTCGACCAAGAACTCGGCGGTACCGGCGTTGCGGTACCTCACAGACTTGGCCAGCTTGACAGCATCTGCCAGGAGGTTGTCACGCACGTCGACGGGCAGGTCCTTGGCGGGAGCCAACTCAACGACTTTCTGGTGACGACGCTGGACGGAGCAGTCACGCTCGAAGAGGTGGACGACATTGCCATGGCTGTCACCGAGAAGCTGGACTTCAATGTGCTTGGGTCGGTCGAGGAAACGCTCAACGAAGATGGTGCCGTTACCGAAGGCGGAGCGGGCCTCGGAAGTGGCACGCTCGAAAGAGTCCTTCAGTTCACTCTGCTCGCGGACAACACGCATACCACGACCACCACCACCAAAGGCGGCCTTGATGATAATAGGGAAGCCATATGTGTCAGTGAATGCCTTGACCTCCTCGAACGACTCGACGGGACCAGGAGTACCAGGAACAACCGGCACTTCACACTTGATGGCCAGCTGACGAGCAGAGACCTTGTCACCCAAGTTATCAATGGTGTCGGGGGTAGGACCGACGAAGACCAGACCGGCCTTCTCGACCTTGCGGGCAAAGTCTGCGTTTTCCGAAAGGAAACCGTACCCAGGGTGGATGAGGTGGACACCGTGTTCGAGAGCAATCTTGATGATCTCATCACCGGCCAGATAAGAACCGACGGGGGTATATTGACCACGATGGCCAATCATGTAGGCCTCATCGGCCTTTTGACGGTGCATAGAGAGACGGTCCTCATGAGAGTAGACAGCTACTGTCTGGAGGGAGAGTTCGTGGGCGGTACGGAAGATACGAATGGGGATTTCACCACGGTTGGCGACGAGGATCTTCTGGAACTGCATGATGGTGGAATTGGCCCGTAGACGACGGTGGACAGAGTCCTGGAACTTCTCATGGTGTTCTTCAAGGAACTCTACATCGTCGATGGCCGACTCGGCCTGGCGGTGGGCAAGGGAAGCCGCCATTGTGTATGATAAGAGTAGGTAGGTGAGGAGTTAGGGCAAGGAGGAGGCAGAAGTGGTCAATTGACGAGACGGCGGGCTATATAGGAACACGGAACGGTTAGCCTCGGTCACTCTCACTCTTATCCTTTACCCGCGGGATACAGCATTGACTCACCTTGTGGGCGGAGGTAGTAGAGCACGTAGCTCTAGCGGGGCACCGGGTCTCGGGCGGAGAGATGAGGGATAGAGGGATTAATTGATGAGAGAGGTAGGCAGGACAAGCGAGGACAAGCGAGGACAATGGTTGATATATAGATGAGAAGAGAAAGATGAGAGATGAAAGAAATAATCGAGAAGAGAAGAAGAAGAAGGAGAGAGGATGGGAGGATGGGAGGAGGGGAGATATAGTTGATGGCGGCGGGGTGCGGCAGTATGTACGGTACGGTACGATACAGTATTACGATTACGAGAAGACAAGGTCCAGGACGGTTTTCACCGGCACACCGGACAGCTCCAGGTGGGATAGCAGCACTAAGAGAACCTCGGTCGAAGATCACCCGAAAGGGTCGATTTATAAAAGCATTAGCATTTGTCTTTGGCAATTGTGGGCGATGGCGGTCGATCAGGGGAGATACAATGACAATTGCTATCAGCTCATACTACTCTCCGCCGGTCAGCTGACCCCATGCCCGCGTCACATGCCAAGCCCAGTGTATCCGCCCAGCCCACTACCCGATATAGTAGCGATACTAGTTTCCCGGAGTAGTATCAAAGTCTCCGTGGAAGCACATACTCTGTACGATACCACTCACCTCTGTCACCATTCTGGTATACCGGGAAACTTGCTACACATCTGTCCAGATAGAACTCGCCTCTCTCCTAAACCCTCCCCCACTCGGAATCTGGGGTAAAACACTTTTCCTGCATCCCTGCCCAGTATCGCTGCCCTCCTTCTGCCCGAAACGTCCGGTGTTCTTGTTCTTAGCAAGCGGATAGACTAACGCTTCATTTCGTCTCATACCATCCCATCTATCTCTCCATATCAGATACGCCCTCTGATCATCGAGCCAAGGAGTCTCGGCGTTTGGTACATCCAACCACGGTCCCCGCCAATGATAGCCTATCAACCGCCAATGTGCTTTAACTCCAGACTGACTCGGTAATTTTTCCCCCCAAAAACAGGAAAATCATCCTGCAGAGAACAAGTCACTGCTTAACCCACACTAGATCGTCATCGCTACACCGGGGACTACTATGGGGAAAGGATGTGGGCTCACGTGGATGGTCTCTCACTTATGCATTGTAGTGTACATAATACCAGGAATAAGAGTTTTGATAAGTCTATGCTGACAACGGTTCCAATCACGCAAAGCAAATAGGAAATAGAAAAAGAAAAAAACCATTGTACTAAAAATCTCGTCCTCTCCACAACCGACCTTCCGCCGGTTTTCCTCCGACTGTCATTTTTCCATGATGCGGGGTGGTTACCATGGTTCATCCATTGCGCTTCTTGTTATACACAAACAAAAATAACTAAAGAAATTTCAAATGACAACAGGAAATGAAAAAATAACACTAGAGTAGATATCGGGAATTAAGTATGAGAAAATGCGATTAGAACGGACGGAATCCAGTGGTCTGGGGTGTGAGACCATTGGCTTGGCCGTACGGCATGGGGCTGGCCATGGGTGGAGGCGCCTGGGCCGGTCCCTGCGTCAACATCAACCGCGAGCCGCCCAGGATCGGGGTGTTATCTTCATCCTTCTTCTGCGTCGTCTCTCGTGACTTGCGCTCCTCGTTGTCCTTCTTGAGCATCTCGATCGCCCGCGTCTGCTCGCACAAGAAGTTGATCATAAAGGGCATCGTGAAATCGTGGAGGCCGTGGCGCCACGACACCTCCATGATCACATCCGGTCGGATCAGGTCATAGCAGGCGTACAGCATACCAACGTAGCACTCACGGCTGCCAATATCGACAAACTAAAGACAGGTTAGCTATCAGTCCAATAATCAATTAGAAAAAGAGACAAAACTTACGTAGCGAAGGAGCTCCTCGACAACATCGGACTTGCCAGAGATAGCAGCGGTCTCAATGGCATCCTTGTAGAGCTTGTCCTGCTTCGACAGCGTAATCGACTTCTCCCATCGTTTGTTGTTGCGGTAGATGCTGGCGGCGATCTGGCGGAAAAAGATCAGATCATGCTTCTCCAATCGCTGGGCGAGTTCCACGGAATCGAAGTTGTCGTAGTTGTCCACTGAGTCGCGGAGAGTCTTGTAGTCCTCTTCTTCAATCAGCAAGTCGTTGATGGCGTCGTTTACTGCCCGCTTGTTCTGGGTCTGCACGTTCAACAAGAATGGCTTAATCAGAGGGATATTGTCCGAGGCATGGAAGATGCGCACAACACGGTTGACGTCAATGCGAGGAGTCAAGACCTGGAGCAGATCCGTGAGAAGCAAGGGCTGCTCTTGGAGATAGAAGTTCAGTCCCCGGTAGTAGATTTCGAGGTTGGCAACCTTGACGATGATGTCCTTGAACGAGTGGTGCTCCCACGCGTCGGCAGCACGCTCCATCATCGCCAGAGCAGCATTGTCCCATTCGTCGTAGTGGCAGTACAAGAACACCAATTCTGGCCAGAGGCTGGCTTCCTCACAAGCACGGATCATCTTGGGGATGTTGATACGAGACCAGAAGAGCTTGAGGTGCTCCATGACCCGATCGGGGTGGTACTTGGACAGGGCGATACCAAGCTCGGTGAACATACCCATGTGAGCCCGCTCCAGACCCAGACCAGCCTCGAGAACACCAATGAGTTCGTCAAAGTAGCCGTTACGCTCGTACTGGCGAACAAGGTCTTGCAGTTCTTCAGCGTGTACGATAAGGTTGAGGCCACAAATCTGTGCCAGGCGGAATTCCTTCTTGTTGACGCATGCCTCGTTGACCTGCTTCCAGACCTTGACGCTGTTGGCCTTGCGTGCACACTCCACAGCAGCTTGGTAGTCCGCCAAGTGCACCAGAGTAGTGGCCAACTTGGCCCAGTTGGAGATGCTGGTGTAGAAGATCTTAGCGGCCTCATGGTAACCCTCCTCGTATGCCTTATCACCGGAGGCTTCGACGTCCGCAACGTTGGTGGCACGGAGGAAGTCCTCCAGCTCGGCGAGCTGGTCAAGACGTGCGAAGCAGAAAGCCAAACCGGTGTCGATGGCGGGCTCACGCAACGTCTTGCGGGCCATTCTCAGGAACTTGACGAGATCCTCATCCTTGCCAGCGTGGGTTGCGGTGTCAATTACTTCGTTATAATTCGAGGGATCGTCTGCACGGATGTACGACTCGATCGAATCGGACACACGAAGACCATCGAGCTGGGCCTTGGCGACCTTGCTCCACACATCGGGCAACTCCACGCGCTCAGCAAACTCCTGGGCACGGTCGATGCTGACGATGTTCTCGACAAGTACATTGACGGCAGCGATGTAGTTGTTGACCTTTTTGTAGATCTCGAACGCCTCCTCGTAGAGTCCAACAGAGATACACATCTCAGCAATCTCATCCGCACTGAACTCGTTGAGCTGGTGGATGTAATCCATGAGGCGACCTTTATCGGCCTTGGCGGCAGTCAACATCATGAGGTTCTGCAAACTGGTGTTATCACTGAACGGCGAGGGTTCGAGGATGATCTTTTCCAGCAGCTCAATCAGCTCACCAGGAAGGTCGGCATCAAGGAAAGCCTTGACGGCGATGGAAACCTTGTCGGGCTCAGTCGACTCAGGAACAGCAGTTGCAATGACCTGGTCAACCATGGAACGTCGGTGCACATTATTCTCGCTCAAAACGAACGACCAGATTTCCGAGTCGGCACGTTCGACGAGGTAGCGAGCTTGCGCCCGGTACATCGAGTTCTCGTTGGTAATGTTGATGAGCTCCAGGTCATTCTGGCCTTTCTTGTACGCAATGTGCGCAAGGTGGGGGTCGCGCTTCTCACAGTATTTTCCGACAGTCAAGGTGTCGTACATGTCGTTCTCCTGGAGGAACTTCTCAGGGTTGTTGTTGCTGTCAATATAGATCTTGGCGAGAGCATTGTAGACAGCCTGCTGCTGGTTGCCGGTCGCAAGAGTTGCTTCAAGGAAAGGCAAAAGCAGCTTCAGTCTGTTCCGCTTCTCGACCTCAGCCACCAGCTCATCAATTGGAATAAGCGCTGGATCAACAGTGGACAGAAGGTTCTTGATGATGCCCTCGTCACAGTCGACGTCCAAAAGACCACCGACGACAGCCGGAGCACGAGAGGGGTTAACACGCTGCACGTAGACCTCGATGGACTTGTACTGCTGGTTCTGGTAGAGGTACAGAACCAGGTCGTGGATAAAGTTGAAGCGGTCGCAGACGATGATAAGCGGAAGCTGTTCGGTCAGGCGGGCTTCCTTCAGGAAGTTCCGCACCTTCTCCGGGTTGTAATAGTTGCTTTCACGGCAAATGCGCTCGACCTCCGTGAGCTGGCCCATAGCTGTAGCAGCCTCAATGTACTTGAAGTGGACCTCGGAGTCTTCGCTCAGGTTGACAATACTCCCAAGGTAGTAGTACAAACCTTCGGCGGTGCGGTACTTCTCCAGAAGAGAAATAAGACGGCCGGATCCGAGAAGGTCGGAGAACTTGGTGGCGATCTGCACGACAGACTGCAGAGTCTGGCGGATGTTCACGGCCATCATAGTATCGAGGCAATCAATGCTCTGCTCGACCGAGAGGTTGCCAAAGTAGTTTATCAACCATTCGGGGCTGAGCTGGTCGGTGCGGACAATGTTGCGCTTGATCGCGGCGGTGTCATCGGTGTTCTCCAACGCACGTTGTATGAGACCTGCGTTCTCGCAAAGCTGGGAAATCCGGGGGCGGTCGTAGTGTGTGAAGATCTCATTACCAAGGATGGCATCTGCGACCTGCGGGGCATTGACAAGGTTCATCTCCAACAGCCGTGTCTGTAGGTGGCCCTGCTCGGGCTTGTTGTCCTTCAAGGCATCAAGCAGGAAGGAAGTGGCCTGCTGGATCATGTTCTGAGACAGGAAGACGTCCACAACACGGTCAAGGTCAATGAGAGCGCCGGTGTCTTCGTTGGCGAGTTGGGAAGCAAACTCAGCACCCTTTTCGGGGTTCACGCGGACAATGTGCTGCAGGAGCTGGGTGTAGTCGGGCTGGTAGCCGACTTGCTTGGAATAGGCAAGGATCTTGTCAAATTGGCCAGTCTCAGCAAACCCAGCAATGACCTTGTGGGGAACATTGGCCTGCAGGTAGATTGACAGAGCAAGGTTCATGTCAAAGGGACGAACGATGTCTCCAAGCTCTTCAGATGACTCGAGCTTCTCCTCGCGCATCCACTTCTCCAGCAAGTGCTTCCGGTTCTGCTGCAGGACGGGTCGGACAAGTTCAACACTTTCGTACTTGTTGAGACCGCCCTTGTCCAATAGCATACCAAAGTACTGCAGAATGACAGACATCTGGCCGGTCTGAGGGGCGTTCTTGAAGCGGTTGATCGTCTCCGGGGTACGGAGGAACCCACGGGGGGAGTTGGCAGCGATCTTGGCGGCTTCGGGATAGTTGCCTTGGGTGATCAAGCTGTCGAACTGCTGCTGGTAAAGATGATCGGCTCCAGGGAGTCCAGCTTTGGAGGCAAGCTTCACCGCCAGCCCAGACATGGCAGGGTTTTCCATCAGATACTGAACAATGGTGCTTTCGTCGACGCTGACAGACAGGACCTGGCCCTTGCGGTTCACACCAACCAGACCAGCAGAGTCGGAGTCAGGGGCGGTCGTAAAGATCGTTTCACTGGAGATTCGGTTCATGAAGATGCAGGTGCCAGTCTCGAGGTCATAGAGGTGAATGAAACCGTACTTGGTGACCAGGTACACGACATCGTACTTCCTGGAGACCTGCATGGCGACGGGGAAATCGTTGACTGCCTCTTGTGGGAAGTAGACCTCCACAGCCTTCTTCTGGAAGCGTGGGTTGGGCTCTTGGTGGTCAATTTCGGCGATCTGCAGTTTGGCGCCCGTCTGGGTTCGAACGGCGAATGTGAAGAGCTTGTGTTCCAGTGGAGAACCCTCGACCCTAATCGAAGCGAAAGCGGCCGCATGGCCTTCAATGAACTGCGATATCCCACGGTCTTTGGAAAACAGCTGCATCGATCCAACGACACGTCCCTGCTGCTGGCTGATACCAACCACGACCATCCACTTCTCGTCGTCGTTGACACGGTAGTTGATGATTTGGCATCCCTGAGTAGCAATAGCATGTCAGTGATGAAGAAAATGGTCAGGGAACTCAGAAGGCATACGCTCAGATTAGGAAGACGGTCGAAGATCTTAATAGGCTGGGACTGAGTGGGCTCAAAGACATCCCAGTGGTAGACAGAAACGTCTGTCACCAAACCCAAACTCGTATCGCTAAACCACTTCCAGTACACGACATCCTCGTTCATAACCGCCGACTTCAGCTTTTGCTTTGCCGATAGGTCGAAGATCTGAATTGTCCGTCCTTGCGCTTTGAGGGCGATGATGTTCTTGGTCCAGTGCATAATAGCACTGTCCGCGTTGATCGGCCGTTTGATGACTTCATTATTATTCTTGAGGTTGATGATAATCACTTGGGGCTTGTCATCTTCGCTGAGTTTCTGGCGAACACAGAGGTAGTGATCCGATTCTAAAGTCTATCATGCAGGAACACCGAGGAATTAGCAACCAAGGGGCACACAGACCAGCTGTCAAAAGGATGCGGAGGGTGCCGGTACTCACACATGAGTTGAAGCCAATAGAGGAGGGCTGTGATAAGGCTAGAGCGTAAGTAAACTGTCTTCTGAAAGTCAAGGAAGCATTGTAGGATCGTTGGGGGGGAGAAGCGCGACCGAAGCATCGGCGTGGTACCACCATTGGAAGCGGGAGGACAGGTTGGGCGTCAGGAACATACCGCGATTTCAGCGTTGGTCAACTGCAAGTGAGAGCACAAGGTATTAGTCGGGGATTCAACAGTAGGAATACACAGCAACAGAAAGCGACTGGGGAGGGCATAGGAAACGTACATTGACCAGCTCCGTGAACTTAATGGGTAGAGGAGCCATATTTACTATCAAGGCCGGAGGACGACCTCATCCACCCCAGTAAACAACGCCAGCAAAAACCGAACCGAAAGAGCAGATAAGAGAAAGGAATTGATGGTAAGGAGGAGCAAAAGAGAGAATGAGAAAGGAAAATAAGGACAAGGAGGAGAGGTTGTTCGAAGATGGATAGATTGATGGATATGACCTCAGGAGAGAGCCGCCGGTTGTCTCGTTGCTGAGGTGTCGCTTATGGCTCGTCACGTGCACCAGGGGTAAAGCTGCCGGAGATGCACGGCCTGCCGCAATATGCCAGCAAACAGAGAGAGGAAAGGATGTTTAGGCAGGTATGGTTAAGAAATGAAGGGAACGAGGATTGAGAGAGAGGGAAAAGAAATATGGCCGTTGGTATAGTTGATTGTCGGGTGGTGAATTGTTGGCGCCGTTTGATGTTCACCTACAATGCCGTGTATTCATTGCTTTTTTTTTTTTTTTGCTTATATTCTTATTTTATTCTCAATCTTCCGTGTGCATTTCAACGTCTTCTGACAGTGAAGCTGTATGATGTATGACGTACAGAGCAGCTGAACGGTGACAGTTCTATGCATGTCGGTCTGCAGGCTATTTTATATACAACCAAGGTCATACTATTGTCGTTCATAACACAGTCACTCGTCACCATGCATCTCGATGAGGTTGCGAAATGCCTGGAATAGCAATTTCAACCCCAAATTCTATATATCCCGGGGTCACATCCAATGTTAGTATTCAATGTAGTGCTACCTTCAAGCTGTATCAGCAAATGTATATTGGTCATGACCCAGTTGAGGAGAACGGAAGTTTAGAATATATCTTCGAGAGGTAACAGATATGTGCTATCGTAGAAAGTCCTGACAATCGAGCAAGTCATCGCCGGTAATCCTGTTTAGCATGGGCTACAACATCGTCGTGATGATGGGGGATAATGCAAAGAGAACAATCACATATAAACACTCTAGAACGCTCAAACTGGGAACCAGGCAGCTTGATTATATTTTTTAACAGGGGGGCATTGATCATAGAGGATTACCACGGATTAAATGGCATATATAGTAATATGAGGCGTCATAAAGCTAAGCGCTTAACACCACACTGCTGTAATCCTCTTCCGCATCTATCTCAACAATCCGCGAGTAAGTCATGCACCTCCCACGGCTACAAAACCCCACCCCCATCCAAACACGATGCATCCCACAAGCGCTATCCTGATGGGATATTATTGGCCTAGCAGAAACAAGAAGCGGCAAGACACCAGCCTTCGCGCCACAGATTTTACAAGGCCTGATGAGCAAGCAGGGCCGTTTACACTCGATTATCCTTACGCCTACTAGAAAGCTTGCGCGGCAAGTTGTTAATGTTCTGGAAGATCTGGGAGGTTTGATGTCTGTTTCGTGTACGCTGTTCATTGGAAGGAGGGATATGCTTTCGCAGGTGACTCGTCAACAAAGGGTAGAAACATAATCTCGATATACTTCCAGGATATGCAAATGTGAATGTTACATTCCTCGGGTTACGTATGCACTCCCGATGCAAGTAGCTGAATAAGATATAAGATATGGGTTCGGAACCGGACCGAGGTTTAGTTCAATTTGGATTGGGTTATGGTATGGTTCAACTAGGGCTGTACGGTGCGCTGCATACTTAGCCGATCCGCACATTGTGTCCATACTATGTAGTCCGTCCGTAGTTTACGCTCGAAGCAACAAGATAAACGCATACTACAGAGTATGATCTCAGAAACCAATTCTTCACTTCTTATTTCACACTTAAAACACAACGTTTTTACACCCTCTCGAACAATATGTTTATAAATCACAAAACCAAAATTAAAAAAGCCCTTATATAACGCTGTATGCAGTCAATCCACCAATAATTGCCCTTGTAGCTCAGGGGTAGAGCGCATCACTCGTAATGATGAGGTCCGCGGTTCGAATCCGCGTGGGGGCAATCCTTTTTGCCTTTATTTTTTAAAATCTACATTTCATGATTCATTTGCCCCTTTCTTTTTTTGTTTTCTTTCTTCTTTCTATCTTTAAAGCTACAGTAGTCAAAAATAATTCAACAAAAGCTTAATTGGACGTGAACATAACATTTCATCATCTATGTACTAAACTGTACGGAGTACTATAAGTCATTAAACAAAGCATCGTAATCTTTTCTGAATCTTTTTTATACCATACACCACGTCATCAGAAAAGTAGGTTAGTGGTGGAACAAACGAGTACCCTGCTCGACGAACGAGATACCAAGCTTCTCGGCAGTCTCGAAGACGGGACCGTCGTTCTGCGAACCGCTGGGTGCGGCGATGTACTTGACGCCGGAGCGGGCGGCGCGGAAGACGTTGTCGATGAAGGGGAACTTTTACGTTGATTAGCATGGTCAATCTGATTTGAAGGGAGAAAAGGGAGACATACGAAAGCATCCGAAGAAACAGCAACGTTGGTCAACTGCGAGAGCCAAGAGTCTCGCTCCTCCTGGGTGAAAGGAGCAGGAACCTCCTGGAATACACGCTCGTACTCGACCTTCTCAGCGTCGTTGTGGGGCGTCTGGCCCGAGCAGAGCAGGTCAATGGCATTGCTCTTGTCGGCGCGCTTAGTGCCTTGCTTCCACTTGATGTTGAGGACGCGCTCGTGGAAGCGCATCCACCAGTTGTCGGTCTTGTCACCAGCGAGACGGGTGCAGTGGATACGGCTCTGCTGGCCGGCACCGAGGCCGACGACCTGGCCGTTGAGCGCGTAGCAGACAGAGTTGGACTGGGTGTATTTCAGGGCGAGAGTGGCGACAGTGAGGTCGCGGAGGGCGGACTCGGGGAGGGACTCGGTGTTCTTGGGGGTGATGATGGTGTTGAAGGTCTTCTGGGGGGAGATGACGGCGTCGTTGCGAGCCTGGGTGAGCTGGACACCATAGAGAGTGCGGGTCTCCTCGGCGGGAGGAGTGTAGGTCTCGTCCATCTCGAGGACGAGGTACTTGCCGCCCTTCTTCTTGGAAAGGATCTCGAGAGCCTCGGGGGTGTAGCCGGCAGCGATGACACCGTCGGAGACCTCGCGGGAGACGATCTTGGCGGTGGGGACGTCGACGACGTCGCTTAGGGCGAGGATGTCACCGAAGCTGGACATGCGGTCCGCGCCACGGGCACGGGCGTAGGCCTGGGCAAGGCCGGACGACTCGATGCCAGCGATGTCGTCGACCATGTAGACCTTGCGCTCCTTCTCGTTCAGGGGAACACCGACGGAAGCACCAGCGGGCGAGACGTGCTTGAAACTGGCGGCAGCGGGGAGGCCAAGAGCCTGCTTGAGCTCCTTGACAAGACCCCAGGCGTTGAGAGCGTCCAGCAAGTTAACGTAACCGGGCGAGCCGTTGCGCACGGTGAAGGGAAGCTTGCCCTGGGCCACGAAGGCAGAGGCAGGCTTCTGGTGAGGGTTGGTACCGTAGCGCAGAGTCAAGTGCTGCTCACCACCAGCATATTGCTTGCGGAAGAAGCTAGAGATAGCAGAGTCATAGTCGGCAGTCTGCTCGAAAGCCTTAAGAGCATACTTCTGCTTGCTAGCGTTGTTGATCTCTCCAGCCTCAAGCTCCTTCAGGAACTCAGGGTAGTCCTGAGGGTCCGCGAGGATCGTCACACGGGCATGGTTCTTGGCCGCCGCACGGAGCAAAGTCACACCACCAATATCAATCTCCTCAACAGCCTCCTCAATGGTAACGTTAACCTTCTTGACAGTCTCCTTGAACGGGTACAAGTTGCAGACGACATAGTCCACCTTGGCGATCTTCTGCTCAGCAAGGTCCTTCTCGTCCGTCTCGATGTTGCGGGCAAGGATACCACCGTGAACGGCGGGGTGGAGGGTCTTGACACGACCGCCCAGCATCTCAGGGGCGTTGGTAATGGCCGAGACATCCCTGTATTAGACAAATGTCAGCCTGGTCTCTTATAGTGGTATTATGCGACTACTCACTCAACAGGGAATCCAGCCTCCCGAATCAACTTGGCCGTACCGCCAGAGGCAAGCAGACGCACATTCTGCTGCACAAGACCCTTGGCAAGGTCAAGGAGACCGGTCTTGTCGTAGACGGAGATAATTGCTGTTTAGCAGATGAATTAGCATCTGTCACCTGAAGGTAAAAAAAAAAAAGGGAGTGAGAAAAGCATACCCGACTTCTGAGCCATGATGTGCGGAATTGTAGAAAAGAAGCGAGATAAGACCACCACTTTGAATCAGACCACTGCAGACGAATATGAGATGAAGAAAAGAATTGCCCGTGGTCCTCAGAATCAATTGCCAAACACACAGAAACAGAGGCTGAAGTGAGGCCGAAGCCGGAGAAGAGATTCTAATTCTTTGCCGCGGGGAGGGCATGATTGAACCAATCAGAGCCTGTCTATTGAACCACCCCGCGTTATACCCAATGCGGCGAGCATAGCTGACATGGTTATGTAAACACTTTATACAGGTAGTTATGTATATGTATCATGTGACAAGTACGCACAGACCAACAACTCCCAATACAAAATCGATTTTTCACTTCGGAACTTTTCCTTTCTTTTTTTCTTTTCTTCTTCATGAACAACGCAAAATAACAACATTCTTCCAAAAGCGTTCCTACGAGGATATATTCCTATGAAGTACGGAAATCGTCATGTAGAATGAAGAGGGATTGCCTCTGGCAAAGGGTCGGTCTTGGGTGCAGTGCCTGCTTGAACTCCTACTGGGATTCAATAGTAGGGACTGCAATGACTGACTCTACAACACGTCTTGTAGTTCTGTAAGGAGTGGATTGTTCAAAGCTCGTGAATCAGCCTGCTAGGCATTGGCTATGAGCTATCTGTACGAGTCCATATCATGCATGCCATCCAAAACGCAAGGAAAAATATGCCTATTGTAAAAATGCCAATTGACGAAGGAAACAAAAAGAACCCCAATCTCGTGAAATCTCGTCTTAAAAAGCTCAACCCTTCAATGCTTCCTTGGCTCCTCCAATCGCCAACTGCCGTCCAATATTGCCAAAGCATACACACGCGCAGAAAAGAACGCTAGCGATCCATGTCCGCACAGCAATACCCTCTTGCGTTATTCCCGTCGCAAATGCGAATTCCAACCCAGTGCTGTTCAGTCCAAATGTAGTGGGTGGGCTCTCAATCGACGAAGGCATCAATTCCGGTTTCAGTCCCAGAACCAGGCCCATCCCGGCCACACCCACGACTGTCGACAGCAGGAATCCGGTCTTGGTTCGGTCGATAAGATACCACAAAACGGGGTTTACGAGCGCGAGGGTCAAGGAAGCTTGCGTGGTGGATTCCCATGGAAGTCGTCGCTATGACAGTTAGCAGCGACGCTATTGGGCGATTGAAAAGGAGGACTTACCATAGCAAAAGCAATCCCAACAAAAGCACCAACACTGCGAACAGCGGCCACCCACGTCGAAGTGCGATCCTCATTGCTATGGGCCTGCTTCGTCCGTCGAACAGTATCGGGAACCGTCCCCTCAAAGAAAACATCCAACCAAGGAAGCACATTCCCCAACGCAATACCAGTCAACCCCCAGAAACCCAGATACTGCCATGACTCGTAGTAGTGAATATTCTCCAACTTCACCGGTGTAATCCAATGATTCTCGTGAAGATGCACCGTAATCACACCATACACAATCCCAAACCCAAACAAGAACGCACTGCGCAGCGCCCGCGGCAGAATCACACCCCGAAACAGACCATGGTTCAATCGAGACCGGGTGCGCTCGAGCGTAAACCGATCCGGGCCATCAAGCTTGAATTCCGGCTTGGGATGCTCAGCGCCGGGCGTTTGTGCTTCCGTACCCCAGGGACTGGATTCATCGCGGGTGCTGTCGAAGGCTGTTGGGGAATAGATACCGAATAAAGTGGAAGAGGTCAGGTTCATGATGGATCCGTTGCGGCTCATGTTGTTTAACTCGGCGTCCTTGGGGCTGAGGAAGTCCGGGTTCGCAGGTTCAGCTGGAGTGGGCGCTTCGGAGGATTCTGGGGTGAGATTGAAGGCTCGTCGCGGCCGGGGACGAAGAATACGGTCTTCAGACATGGCTGCAAGGAAGAGTGTATGATTGCGTTTCGCGTGATACACAGTTGTGTTTGCGATAGAAAAATAGAACAGGTTCAAGGGGGAACGCTGTTTAAAACCCGACTCAGCTCAACGGCGTAACCAGGACAGAACCGTTGCAACAACGCGCAGGGAAATTCGGAACAGGAGTAGTCTCAACAATTCTCGCAAGCAGGTGCCCTCGGACGATCAATCACCGGCAAGCAATAGTAATTAGAGGAACGACCGAAAAAAAGAGGAGACGACGACGCGGGGAAATTCAGCAATAGGAGAAAATCAGTGGCTGTCAATTTCCGGCGACTGAGTCGTATGTGCAGGCTGCAGGAGCTGAGGACAGTACAATAGTACAAGTAGTATGCTGAACGCTAAGCAGTAATTAGTTATGATGATAAGATAATATAATCAGCCAACATTCAACATAAGAATAGAGGAGGCTGGTTGAGGAGAATTAATTATTGAGACAGGAACAGGTGCGGAACCAGCGGGAAGCTGACATGTGATTGCCGGAGAATTACCGTGACCGTGGATGCGCAGGAGACTGCATACCAGTGTTCAGCTACAAATACATGCAATGATAGCTAGCAAACTAATACAGCTCCCACCCTGCATCCACAATATCATCCAATACCGTACAAAACGCCATATCATAATCTCCATCCCTAAAAAACCCAAACACTCCTCCCCCCTTATACCTCTCCAGCAGCGAACTCTCCTCAACCATAGGCACCCCCCTCAGATTCTGTATCTTGCGTCCTCGCGACGGATTAAACACACTAAACACCCTCTCTATCTCACACCCGGCCCCTAGACTTCGATTTTGACTTCGTGAAGAATCCGAATCCCGCATAACCGCCCTGATCCCAATGCACTGGAAATAAACCTTCCCTGTTGAGAGACTATTAGCACTGCACCACGCGCCGTCAACGACTTCATTCGATCGCACGAGGCGGGTTATGCTGTTCCCTAGTACGCCGCCAAGATGTAGACCCTGGTTTTCGCGAGTTTGGTTACTATCCTTCAAATCCCGTAATGACGCTTTATCTCGCACATCCTCGAACAGCCCCTTCTCAGAATGATGATACGCAACCGTCCTCCCAGCAATCAATCCAGGCAAAGAACCCTTCTCATAAACCCGTCCATCACCGGTCACAAGCTCAACGAAGCACCACGGCCCCGCCCACGTAATAGCCTTCACATTAGCACCACCACCACGGCTCAAAGCCCTAACAATCCCCCCAACCTGCCCCTCCGTCGGCGCCTTCCACATCCTTAATCGGAACCCCACAGGATCAGGTAACCCTTCATCCGCATAAGCCGCCGCATTCGTCTCAACGCCTTCCCTAAACAATCCTACCTCGTCACTCATTACAAACCGCACCGCAACGCACGCGATAGTCAGCGGTACGGGGTCGGGAATCGTATTTGTGACAATTGTGATGACTGGGTATGAGAGATCGAGCTGTTTTGCGTTGTAAAGGGTGGAGAGATAGGTGAGTTCGCGGGCTGTTGGGCTGCGGAAGGATTTGATGGAGGGATTCCAAAGAGTGAAGGGGGCCGGGTCGTGGATGTGGCGCGAGCCGTAGGTTGTTTGGTTTAAGGATTTCCAGTTTGTTAGTGGGGTAAGGAGGCTGGTGTTATTGGTGGTGTTGGTGTTTGTGGAGGTGGTGGTGTTGGGGTTAGTTGGGGGCATTGGTATTTGGGGTATGGGCCCCAGGGAGGCGGTTGAGGTCATGGTGTATGCCGTTGTTTATTGCTTGGGATTTATTTATTGTAGTTAAAGATGCTACTTTGTACAGATGAGAGGAATATGCTATAGTAGAATCTAGCCAAAGGTGACGTCGTAGTAGAAATGCCGAATAGGAAACTCGGATGACCGTGTTATGAGGTATAGAGTACCAAGTTATGGCAACCGTTGCATCCTCACCATCTAGACATAGATATACATTCACTCAATTGCAACCCAAATCACCCAAAACCAGCAATACAACAAATGGTAGAGTAATACATCAATTAAGCAGAATATTGGAAAGAAATCGGAAATAAAATGAGAGTAAACAGTGAACCAGATAAAGGCTACTCAAACCGGCCCTGCTGGTGCTGGCTCACCAACAGCAGATGAAGCCTCACTTCCTAAATCTCCATTACGAGCATCGTCACCTTCGCCATCAGAAGCCAACGAATGATCATCACCCTCAACATCGCCCTCAACCTCGTCAAGATCCTCCTCATCCGCATCAACATCAGACGACAACGCCCCATCAACATCACCTACAAAACTCTCATCCATCCCAGCCTCCGCCGTCTGGTCCTCGCCAAGGAGTTCGCGGTCGATATCGTCCAGCGTTTCGTCCATGGCATCTTCCGCTAATGGTGCAGAAGTGGGTTTCGCGGCTGTAGTGCGGGCTTTGGTGCCCTTGGAATGGGAAGCCGCGGGCGTTGTAGTCGGCGTGGAATCAACCTGGCCTTCGGCCGTAACACCAGCTCCGGCCGCGCCATGGGACGCCATAATCTTGTCCGCTGCTTCTGAAGCTGCCTTCTTTCTTGCTTCGCGGGTTGCACGGGCGCGTTTTTGCGCTGTGAGGTATTTACTATGTGAGAGGGCGTTGTCGAATTCGATGGCTTTCTGTTTCGCGCGTTGGCGCTCTTCTCGCTCCTTCTTTCGGTCCCGCTTGGGGCCGTTAGCGTTGTCGTAGTCCCATCTGTCAAGGCGTCGGGTGGCTTTCCGGATCGCGGAGAGGTAAAAGTTGGGACATTCGCCGTAGTCTTCCCGACGCCAGGGGTTGAAAATAATACCGCCTGGGCCCCAGGCGCGGGAGTCGTCGCTGTCGTAACCGTCTGGGAGGCCGGTGATGAGACGTGCGGAGCGGGCTAGAGGGATTTCGCTTTCACGTTGGACGCGAAGCTTTTTGTGGGCTTCGTCCTTGCGCTTAGAGAGCAGATATCCGATGCGCTCGCGACGGTTTTGCTCGACAGCGATTTGGTGTTGTGTTAAGGGTCGGGGGCGGCGGGACGATGATGGTTGGGGTCCGGCTGGTTCATTTACGAACCGGCTAACCACTGGGTTGGAACCAGATGGAGCTGGGGATGAAGCATCGGGGGTCTGCTCCCCCTTCGTTTTGAGAATCAGACGCTGTTGGCCAACTGAACGGTTGGGCGAGACCTCTCGTTTGGGTCGTTTCGACCGCGATTGCGCGAATTGCCCAGGTGTAAGGTCGTCCTCTTCGTCGTGTCTAGCGGATGGGTGCAATGGAGTCGAAACGCCGGAACGACCCACTCCAGAAGCCTGGTCGTCATCGTAGACATCTGCACGTAGGGTTAGCAAGGACGCAACGAAAGGACAATGAAGTGAGCTTACCCTTCTTTGAGCGCTTGTTGACACGAGGCAATGGCTCGTCTTCTTCCAGAATACCTATGACATGTCAACCACCAATCACAGAATTGGATGAAACGAAAACTCACGCTTCCGCTCCAACCGTTTAACCTCCCCAAACTCCAACTCCTCCGCCGTATCAATATTCTCCTCGTTCGCCTGCTCCTCTGTAAGGCTCTCGAAATTCGGCACCTTAATCGGCAATCCGTCAGCCCCCTCACCATTTTGTCCAGCCCCAAACGGGTTATTCGATGCCGCCTCGGCGCTAAAGTCGCTCTCGAGATACCACCACATCAACCACAGAAAGGCCCTCGCACGACTGGCGCTGCTCAGCGTCGATCGCATAACGAGGTCAAAGAAGTCGCGCGGTGGGAAGAAGTGCAATTCGGAGACTTTGGGGGCGTATTGGGCTAGGACGAAGATGAGGTTGACGGGGTTGGTGCGCGGGACGGCATGGCGCTTGATCTTTTCGAGAGTATTCGGTTGGTCGAAGTCCTCCGACGCGCCTTTGAGGATCGATTTAAGACGCGGAGCATCTTGGAGCTGCTTGTAGGCATGGGGGTCTTGATGCGCCTGTAACGAAGGGATGGAGTGGTAGGTTCTCAGCTGGGCACGCATTTCAGGGAAGACTGCGCCAGTTAGTAGACAAACGTCAACGATAAAAGATCGGACGTACAATTCAGCGTAGTATTCATCCTCCCAAAATTCACCAACAAACAAACCATAGCCATACTAATAGCAGCCGGCTTATCATTCTGCAACTTATCCTTCAGAATCTTGCTCGTCTTGCTGCTCCTCGCCATAGCATCCATATAAATATCCGCAAAATCCATCCCCTTCTGCCCATCCGACTGCCGCGTAAACACCTTCGTCCGATCCTCAAACACCAGCTTCAAGAACTGGTACTGGATATCCTTGCGCCACAGCGGAATGCCATCTTCCTTCTTGAGATGCTTGATCTTGTTGCCCGAGTAGACGGAGCCGATGGTGCCGTTGGCCTGGCGTCTTGTGCCGACCGTGACATTGGCTGTGGAGGGGGTTGCGGCGGGATTATCATTATTAGTGTTATTATTAGAGGTAGTGGTTATGCCGTTGATGTTGGGGTGTGGTGTGGGTTGGTCTTCGGGGACTTCGGAGTGCGCGAAGGACTCGTCTGCGATGGCACTGGTGTCGACTTCGGCCATTATAGCGGTTCTTTTTCGGAGGATTTGTACACCGTTGAACAAAGAGGGTTCGTTGGGCGTGTCGAATGGCTGGTGGCCCCCCTGAGGGCGTCCGTCAGACTGGCCGCGAGTGCTTCTTGGATAGATGGTGTAATGGAGCTCAAAGTAGCGAAGTCAGTTGTATAGCAGAAGAATAACAAAACGGACAAATGCAGAACTGAAAAGAAAAGAGGATGGAAAGAAAGAATCGGATTGAAGATCGTGCGAGGGGAGAGAGAAGGAGAAGATAAAGAAAGAAGGTTGAAAATTCTTCCAGCTGGAAAGAAAAAGGGAGGTCGAGATTTGGATCTGATCTTTTTTTCGGCGGCCGCCGAGTATACAGATCCCGGCGGTAGACCTCACTCTGGTATGTATAATGATAGATAATACTTTTCATACAATTTTGTATATAAAACTAAGTCGATCTGAACACTCTCACTGCTCGGAAATTCTAAAGAACATTATTCGAAATGCTACTCGTATACAACCGTACGGACTCGGCTACATGGAACCCCATCCAGCTCGACTCAGACGAGCATTGTTTACTTCAAAATCTTATGAAAGAAATCATGGGAAACGTCATAAAGAAAATGCTCATTGTGATTCAAATACTCAGAATCATCTGTCCTAAGAGAAGAAGCATACACATTCCAGTGCCATCTCCGGCATCTCGCAAACGGCGAAAGCAGCATCATTCTCCATGGATTTGAGAAAACACAAAACAAAATAAGACGACTGAAAAATGCCCCGGAGAATATCGTGTGCACACCGCGGCTCCCGCCAACGTCATGTGCAATGCAATGTATTCCTTCTATACCGGCAATCGGTTTGCTCACTCTGACTGGGGCAGAGAACAAACACACAGAGCCCTAAAACAGACAGCGGCATCTTCTTTTCTTTCTCTTTCAGAATAAGAACGCACAAAACATGCAAGGAAAGGAAAGATCATAGAAGAAACTAGTATTTTTGAGGTAGTAAAAAGAGCCCGCCATTAAATAATCGAGAACTGCAGCTGTAGTAAAAGAAGACACGGTCCGATGCAGCGCAACCGAACGAAACGAAGAAACAAAAAAAGCACTTTTCTTTTCATAAAAAAAAGGAAAAGCCGGCAACCTTCCGCTCGGCACGCAATTATTCAAGCGCGTTATCTCCATATGAACGCCTGAGAAAGACGAATAAAAAAAGTTTGGGTATCTGGGGGGTGAAAACCGGTCGTAGCAGGAAAAAATATCAACGCAATCTATGTGATGTTTTTTTTTCATGCAATACCGACCAAGATGCTCACATAACCAGGAGCAAAAGCGTAAAATGGAGATATCGGACTGCATCGAGTGTCCATGTCTAAACCACGCAAAAAAAAAAAAAAAAAGGTACAATGAAAGGGAAAAAATGAAGACAGAAAGACAGACGACGGGCTTGCGAGATGCTGAGCGATAATAAACACCGGCGCAGATTCTTAAAAAAAAAGAAAAGAAAAGAAAAATGACAATAAAGAAAAATAGTCGTGGCAGTCATGACAAAGCCGTTCCTGAGATGAAAGTGAAGAAGAAAATGAAAATCATAAAAACCAGAAACTCAGGACTCGTTCTGATCGTAACCGTCAATGAAAGGCAACAAAATAAAAATAGAGATATGATAGCCAATCAGACCTGACCGCCTCGTCAGAGACCACAACCGCTGATTTCCCTTTACCACCAGGAAGAGGGACCGGTGGAGCCAGACGGGTTGCCGTAGCCACCACCGTAGCCGCCATAAGACGGAGCACCACCAGCACCACCGTAGCCACCACCGCCAAAGCCACCGCCGCTGCCGCCGTAGCTGCCAGATCCGAAGCCGCTACCGCTGCCGCCGTAGCTAGGGGCAGCATTGAAGCCGCCGCCCATAGTGCGACGCATGTCACGGGTAGCGTTGGCACCACGACCACGACCACCACGTCCGCCGCCACGACCGCCGAAACCACTGCCCTCACGAGCAATGCTCTCGAGGAACGAGGGCAACTCCTGGTTAGCCTCTTTGAGGAGGTCAATCAGGTCACGGACGACACCACGGTTGCCGCGGTTGAAGAAGGCAGTAGCGATACCGGTGTTACCCGCACGACCGGTACGACCGATACGGTGAACGTAGTCATCGATGTCGGTGGGAAGATCGTAGTTAACGACGTGGGTGACGTTGGGGATATCGAGACCACGAGCCGCAACGGCAGTGGCAACCAAGATAGGGCAGCGACCAGAGCGGAACATGTCCAGAGCGCGTTCACGCTCACGCTGGGTACGGTCACCGTGAATGGCAGTAGCCGGGAAACGCTGGTTAAGGAGGAAGTCGGACAGAGTGTCGGCCATACGCTTAGTCTCGACGAAGATCAGGGTGAGACCGGTGGTGCCGTGAGTGTGCAGGATGTCGAGCAGCACGGAACGCTTGTCGTGGTCCTCAACGTACTCGACACGCTGGGTGATGTTCTCGGAGGTAGAACCCACACGACCGACAGACAGGAAAATGTAATCCTTGAGGAAGTCGCGGGCCAGCATCTGGATGTCGCGGGGGAAGGTGGCCGAAAACATCAGGGTCTGGCGCTCATCGACGCGCGGCATGTCCTCACCCTCGACAATACGACGGATCTGGGGTTCGAAACCCATGTCCAACATGCGGTCAGCCTCGTCCAGAATCAGGTACTTGATGTTCATCAGCGAGATACGGCCACGCTCGATGAGGTCGACCAGACGACCGGGGGTAGCAACGAGAAGGTCACAGCCACGCTCGATCTGGCGGAGCTGAGAGCCAATGTCGGCACCACCGTAGACGACGCAGGGACGGACCCACGAGCGGTAGGCGAACTTGCGCGCTTCTTCGAAGATCTGCGACACAAGTTCACGGGTGGGAGCCAAGATGAGCGAGGTGGGGTAAGCCTTGCGCTGGCGGCCGTAACTAAACTGGCCAGGCGCCTGTGCGGGCGCGGTTGAGGGACCATTCTGGTAAGCTTGAGAGAGGATGGGGAAGAGGAAACCACCAGTCTTTCCGGAACCGGTCTGGGCACATGCCATCAGATCACGGCCGTTCATAACAATCGGGACGGAGTACTTTTGGACTGGGGTAGGGACCACGTAACCGGCGAGCGTGATGTTGGTAATGAGGTGGTCATCCAAGGGAGGGTTGGTGAAAGCGTTAACGGGCTCGGGGACATTGGTACCGGAGGCTTCCACGGGGATATCATCGTAGTTGGAGAAGTTGATACCGGTGTTCTGCTTGGCCGGGTCGTTGGGGATTCCGAAGAGTTCGCGTTCCAAACGGGGGTTCTGGGGACCAGGGATGTGTTTGCCGTCACGCCACTGGCCGTCGCCGGATCCTCTGGCCTGGGTTCCGGAGTTGGAGTTGGAGCCGTAGCCACCGCCTGCGGGCTTTCCGTAAGCATCTGGGTTAAAAGGTCGACGAGCGCCTTCCTGGGGGATCCAGCTGTTGTTACCATTGGGACCACGCGGGGAGAAGTCGTTGGCATTAGCCCAGTTGCCGCCACGGCCGCCACCTCTGCATATTGTCAGCCAAATCATCCTAAATTTCTCCAGACAAAGGACCAAGATATATCGTACCTAGAAGAGAAGGAACTGGGGCCCGGAGGAGGAGCAGCACCATCCATGTTCATACCCGTGTTGCGCTGGCGAAGATGGGGAGGGATGTAAGCAGCGCGCCCAGTGTTGGGGGGCTGAGGCGCATGCTGGGATTCGTTGAGGGAAAGGTTTCCCATTTTCAAGCCGTCGGCCATTTTGCAAAACTTCTGTTCGGTGGGAAAGCAAGTCAGTGAATGTTCGCCTTGGTGGAAGAAAGGTACGTAGCAGGTGCGGAAGAGCGACGAAAGGTTTTTTTTTTTTTTTTTTTTTTTTTTTTTTTTTTTTTTTTTTTTTTTTCAAGCGGACTGGATTGGCGCACGTACAAACTTAGGGTTCGAAAAGCGTTTCTTGCTGTAAGGATTCCAGACAAGTCCAGAATCAGTTTCTTTCCGTAGGCAAAAAAGAGAAAGATGTGAAAATCCAAAGAAATCTTCGTCGCTCAATCGGTGGCGATGAAGTCAGAAGGCGGACTTTTTGAAATCTGGCACACAGAAAAAAAGTCCGAAGAGACAGGAACAAGAGGAAAGAGGATAAAGGGAAAAGGAGAGAAGGCGTAGGGAACTTTTTAAATAAAAAAGAAAAGAAAAAAACAAAAACAAAAAGTGTTCTTGATATGGCAGAGATAGAGAGGAGAGTTGAAAAGAAGAAGAGGAAGAGAAGAAGTGAAAGTTTTGTGGGTGAAGAAAAAAAAAAGAGGCAAAAAGCGTGACTTTGACGGCCGCCGATTTACAGTGTGGAAAACAGCCCTTTTTGCCGCCATTCTATTCCTTTCTTTTTCTTGTATCTATCTATCAGTGTCTACGAGTGTTATTATCTGTCCATTTTGCTATTTGAAATTATTTGTTTCGTCTGGTGAAAACTGCTCTGTCATCTACTAAATCTGCTGTCCGCTCAGGCGGTGGTCCGTTCTACAGATACATCGAGTAGATACAGATAGACGGATTTATATGACCATTTTTAATGAATATGGGAAAGAGTAGATTTCTTTTGATTCTGACTATCCCAGACATTGGGTTATCATTTATACTTCTGTCAGCGGCTACAATGGCATCATAGTGAATGTATTCCTCATACTCCGTTCTCTAAAATAAAAAATAAAAAATGCACAAGTCATGTATCGCCCAAACACAGATCTCATATCCCTTAATAGGAGATATCTATTTACAACTCTCTATTGTAATGTTGCCGTGTCTACGGAGTACTACTGGTAGCCCTATCAGTAGTGCCAACATTGCCACTGCTGACCGCTCCTGCACAGATGCAGGGCAGATACGATCTGAACACTGAGTAATGACGCACTCTGATATATTTAGACACGCATACATACAATAATGAACACAATAAAGAGTACAAAAGCGCATACACAACTCTACACCACCGTACGCTCATTCATCTTCCCCGCCACTCGTCCCTTCCGGCGGTACACCAAGAACCCAACAATGGCCACCATCACAAACAGCAGCGTCAATTGTTGGTAGAAATAAGAGGAAACTTCAGTTGGTGATGCTTTGTCGGAAATTTTTTTTACTACTTCGTCTTTGTTATCGTCGTCGGAGGCTCATAACCATCAGCACCGTAATATCAAGAATCGCAATATGACCGCTCGGGTCTACAGTTCCTCATGGCTACCTTGGGTCTCCTTCTCCTCCTTGAGCTCTCCGCTCTTGGCAATCTTGACCTTGTCCGCCGGGCTGTCACCGCGGCCCTTGGGGACATTCTCGATTTGCTCGACGATCTCATAGCCCTCGAGGACTTCACCGAAGACGACGTGACGGCCATCCAACCACCTATAACATGTCAGTACTGTGATCTTTTATCAATAACGAGCTCAAACGTACGCAGTAATAGCGGTAGTGATGAAGAACTGAGAACCGTTGGTGTTCTTGCCGGCGTTGGCCATACTCAAAAGGCCCTTCTTAGTGTGCCTTATCTTGAAGTTCTCGTCCTCGAACTTGTTACCGTAGATCGACTTACCGCCGGTGCCTGCATAATTAGCATCTGCAGTGTTTCCTTTTCAGAGTATACTCGTAACTCACCATCACCACGAGTAAAGTCACCACCCTGGATCATGAAGTCCTTGATAACACGGTGGAAAGAGGAACCCTCATAGCCGAAGCCTTTCTCGCCGGTAGCCAGAGCGCTTTATGGTGTCAGTATATCGCCAGGTATTAATTGATTTCAAAGTATCGTACCGAAAGTTCTCAGCGGTCTATAATCACAAGAACAAATTAGTTCATGCTACCTTCAGAATACATGCAGTATACACCCGTAAACACATACCTTAGGAACAGTCTTGCCGTACAATCCAAGCACAATGCGACCCAATGGCTTGTCACCGTGCTCGATATCAAAGTAGACCTATCAAATAATAACAATCAGCAAAAAACCTCACATAATACACCACGCACCCAAAAAACATACTTTACTGGTGACCTTAGGTCCCCGTGGCTGCTTGGCCTCCTCGCCGTGGACCAAGGCCACTCCAAGCACGAAGATGAGGAAGAAAGAGAAAAGAATACTCCTGAACTGCATGATGCCCTCGATGCTCTAAAGACAAGAGATTAGAGAACAATGGGTGATGAGAGCAGAAGATGGAATCGAGACTCGGAGGCCAGCTTGCATTTGCGGAGAAGGGGTGTGCTTGTATTTTGCTATTTCTGTTACCAAATATACGCAAAACTGTGCCGAGCGTAACAATGATATATTACGTGGAGTTGCAATTTGCACTTCCACGCTCGAACAGGAAATCCTCAGCGGAGAAACATTGTTACTGGCGATTTTCTTCCGCTCCGGATATCCAACCGCATCGCTTCAATTGAACTGCTTGGAGAAACCGGCAAAGCACGTCTATACTCGTCAAGATGGTATGTTCTTGACCCCAATTGCCATTGCCATTGACCAATCCAAACTGACAAAACCACAGGTCTTCATCCTAGGCGTCAACTTCCCCGAGCGGAACCTCGTCAAGGCAAGCCCCCACCACCACACACCACGACATCACCCATACTAACAAAGGCGCACAGAAATCCCTCGAAACCTTCTTCGGCATCGGCCACAACACCTCCTCGCGCCTCCTCTCTCGCTTCTACATCAATCCGACGTGCAAAGTCGGCGAGCTAGCCAACAAGCAGGTCCTGGACATCACGGCCGCGCTTTCCGACATGAAGATCGAGAATGACCTGCGCAGACAGAATCTGGATGATATTAAGCGGTTGAAGGAGACGGGTGCTTATCGCGGACGGAGGCATGCGTTGGGACTGCCGGTTCGGGGGCAGAGGACGAGGACACAGGTATGTTTTTGCATTTGGGTTTGGAATTTGGGAGGATGGATTGAGCTAACTATGGTAGATTAAAACGGCTGTTAAGCTTAACCGTATGGAGAGAAGGCTTTGATTTGGTTGGGTTCTGTGTCTTGGGTGATTGGTTCCCGTTATGAGGGCATGGATGGCGTTATGTATTTTGTTTTATGAGCTCGAATTGTACTATATTCAATGTCATATGAGGATCGGATGAAATATATTAGACTCAATCTTACTCTCGAACATGGACTCACGAACAAGGAATCGTACTCTGTATGCAGATCGAACTTTTCTATCCATTAAAAAACGCCAAACCCAAATATGTATGTGTAACTCTACTCTTACTTTGCTGACGACAAAACGCCCTCACCCCGGTTGACCTGGATCCTCTTATCCTCGCCACCACTAACAATGCCAACCGTTTGGTCCCAGCAAGTACTAAACACTTTGACACCCTCACCGCCGACGCGCTTACTGTCCGATTTCCCACCTTCTTCCAGACTCTTCCGCGAGATCGAATACACACTCTCCCCAACAACGCCATCCTTGTCTGTCTTTGTAGACCGGATATCCCAGATCCGGCATGTGCCGTCGTGGCTTCCACTGATGAGACCGTAGGTGCTGTGAGGGTCGCGCGCAAGCGAGACAACGGCGTTCGTGTGACCGCGCAGAGTCATAGCAGATATGGTTGTTGCAGATGCACGGGGGTCGATGAGAGTGATATGGCGAGCAGATGTACCAGCAGCCAAAAGGTGGACTTCAGGGAGGTGTTCCAGAGAAAGAAGCGAGTGGGACAAGGTGCGGGTGTCGACGAGGGCAGAGGTGACCAGATCCCAAGTGCGTAGGGAGTGGTCCCAGGATGTCGAGTATCCAACCGTCGAGTCCTTTGCATCGAAAATGGCGGCAGACACGGGTGCCGTGTGTCCAGACATCAGGGACAGAGGACCGCGCTGGGGCGTGCTCACGGACGAGTTCAACTTCCTCTTCTTTGAGCCCCGCGAAGCGGCAGATGGGAGCAGGTTCTCCGGGGCGGCGGGTGCATCGTTCTTCTTGGTCGACCAGAATCCAACGGTGTTATCCGACGAACCAGACAGAACACGGCTCGATGGCGCATGCACAGCCAGCGAGTTAATGCCAGACTTATGTCCGTACAACTCCAACTGGGGCGAGATTGTCCCCGAGAAGCCCCCTTCCTCCTCCGCATACTTCCAGAATCGCACCGTCCGGTCCAAACCGGCAGAAACGATCTGGTTCGGCGAAACGAACTTGGCGGCCTTGATCGAAGCGCTGTGACCTCCCTCAGTCACCGAAGGCGAAGTCGCAACAATCTGCGACGACATATTCCACACACGAAGCAGACCATCGTAGCTTCCAGAGAGGATTCGTTCCTGGCCTGGACGAATCGTCGCTGAGGCCCACGAGGCCGGTATCGATGTCACAGAGAGCACATCCGTCGAGCTGACCCAGTCGTCATGTTCGAACGAGGCAATGTGCAGCGGAGGAATCAGCGCTCTGACATATTCGATTTCGATAGTCGTTTCAGAGGAAATTCCATTGGCAGTCAGGTATTCATCGATCGAGGTCCGGAGGAATGTGCCATTGATCAAAAATTCGAACGGGATCGGCTTGTCGTTTTGGAGAAGGTTGTTCACCAGCGTAGACAGAGCATAGCGGCGCAGTGCTTTTCAGCGAATTTCAAGTCTTAGTATTGATCGGTTTGCGAAGCATTGGTTTCTCACCTGTAGGAACCAAAATCGGTCCAGTATTCTCTGGCAGAGCAAGATCTTCTTGCTTGCTCGTAAGCTGCACACGAACCTGTCTCTGCGCAGCCTGAGCCGTCGCGGAATCGTGATCCACGTCCATTATGTTATATAATAAAGGTCTGGGTTAAGGTAAGTGTGTAAAAAATAAATGTAGAAAAATTCGATGTCTTTTGCGGGCTGGACCAAGCGGCGCTGGTGAGAAAAAAATACGGCGTCCGACGCGGCCACTTGCGCAGAAGTCGGAGATCATATATCTACAATTCTAGTTTCTTGACAAACTGAACGATTTTTTATGCTACTATATACAATAAGGAAATCAAATGAGCATGCCTATGAATTCTGACGAATCTCTGCAATCGCCTTTCGCCGATGGTCAGACTCAGCGAAAAGCGCCTTGATCAAATCAACCACCTCATCTGGCGAGAACTCCAAACGCAACTCGCCCTCAAGCCAGAGGAACTTGATATCAGCAAGAGAGCTCTCCAGGATGTTGATTAGGTACTGGAACCGAAGCCAATTCCGGACATAGACGGCCGTCATAGGAACAGCTTCCGCGCCATCCGTGGTTTCGGGAATAAACATATCCTCCAGTTGAGAAACTTGGTTGCAGAACGAAACAAGACGTTGTGACTGTGGTTCGGAGATATCACCCAAGTCTTCGATGTCGATGATGATCTTGTTGATGACAGTAGAGACTAGAGATCCGATAGACTGCAGAAGCGCAGAGTGGGACAATATCGGCCTCCATTCCAAGTAGACGTCGCGGATTCTGTCAACTGTTGCGCTGATTGCATTTTCACACTCGCCTAGGAATGGCTGTTCCGAGCACTGGCCGAAACCCTGTGTACCATCAAGTAGGTCCGTAACAATAGTGCGTTGGGTCTGCATCTCCTTGCTATAGGCAGCCTTGCCGAACTTCTCAAGCGCGTCGATATCAGTAGCCAATCTAGAGAGTTGGTGTTCCTCGACGATTTTGCGAATTCGTTCTGCAAGATACATGCTGTCATTGTACAGGTACATCTGTCCTGCGTTTAGTTTAAAGCCATAAAATGACGACGCAGTGGCTTTGAACATGGCGAGGATCAAGGTAGGAAGTGCAAGAAGTGCCGCTCCGGAAGAGACCACGCGCGAGTTATGGTGTCTAGTTTTGTTAGCTTCTATCTAAGAGCAGCGACTGGGAGTCACTTACGCAGGCTGTGATATGGTTTGCGAGTCCGTGATCTGCTGCAGCACTACATCAACAATAGAATCAGGAATATCCGTCACCATGTACGTCTCTCTCAACGTGACCTCTCTCGAAGCACCTTGGCCAGACGAATCATGACCGTTGGTAGGCTTCGCCGCGGCAGCTGCAGGGGGTTGCAAAGGCTTCTCCTGAGGCGCTTCATCCTCCTCATCACCCCAACCCCAAGCATCTCCAGCATCGTCCTCATCGTCTGTCTCGGGTGCAGCAGCATCCGCCTTAGTCTCCGATGCATCATCCTTGTCATCATCGAGACCCCAAGCACTAACATCCTCTTCATCTTCGGGCTGTGATGCGGGCTTTCCATTGGTTTCTTCCTCGTTATCATCATCCCATCCAGCATCCCAGTCATCAGAAGGTCCATTTTCCAGAAGAGCTTCGTCCGCTTGAGAGACTTGCTGCTTTTCTACTCTTTCAACTTTTTTGGTTGCTCCGCGAGCGGCTGTAAGGACTCTGCGAATTTGATCTAGGGAATCAACTCGTCTCGTAGTAAGCCAAAGGCGAGGAGCTTGGTTCACCCACGAAACAAGCTCTTCGTGGCCGTGCCAGCCCAAGGTCTCTATGGACTTGGTGAATTTGAGCACACTGTCCAGTGTACTCTCGAATTCACCTAACCCTGAGAGTTCTGTAGGTATCGCAGACGACAACCAGGATGATATGATTCTTGAGGAGAGATTGGGAACGAAGTAGTCGGAAAACGGTGTCAAGATGGATGTCGGTAGGCTTTGTTGCAAATAACTCAGGACCTGAGCGATGCGGTCTAGCACTTCAGAAACAGTGGCTGTAGTTGACTCGGTTTCGACTGTAATTCCAGAAGCATTAAAACGAACAGCACGACTTTGGAGAGGCACGCTAGGTAGCAAGATTGGGTTGATAATTGCCGAAAGGAGGTTCTTCTGGAGCTTGTCGTTGACTGTGTCCAACATATCCAGTCGAGACAGCGCGCCAATAGTCTCCTCCAGCATAACTCTATACCCATCTCCTGCAATGAGCAACTTGTGCTGTTCCCTATCAATCGACAACAGGTCATTCCACCGCGCAAGAAGGAAATCCGCAATCTCCTGCCTCAACCCAGCAACGTTCTCCCACAGGATGTTCTTCACATTCGCATCCGCAAATAGACTTTCCGCATTGATATCCACCTTAGTTTCCTCCAGAATGTCAATAGCCTCCATTATCCCGCCTTCGTGCAGACTCGCCCGTCCAGCCTCAAGCTGCTGACACAGCCTCTCCACTTCTTCCAGAGTAATCGTAACGGCCTCGTTGAATGTAATTTCCGTCTGTATCAGGTTTACTTTCGCTGCGGCGTCCACGACCTTCAATTCCAAGGGCCTCGTACTCTCGTGCATCGAAACAATCTCTCGCGCAGTATGTCTCGACCGTTCGATGTCCTCGTGTAACTGTTTCGCTTGCGATATCCAACCATCGGCGTCGAAGTCATTTTCGCGACTCAGCGTGCTTATTTCGGCCTATGCCACAGTCCTTAGTATGCGGCAAGGCTATCGCGGAGTCTAACAACAGGACACTCACCTCGACTTGCTCGCGGGCCTTCGATATCAAGACCAATTCCTTCGAGAGAGCAGACACCGGAAGATCAGACGCCACAACTTTTTCGGATTCTGGATAAGCGCCTTCTGCGACAAAATCCAGCACGGACTGGCATACTTCGTCTTCCGGAGCCTTGGTGGTCATCGTGATCATTCGCAAAGGAGCTCCTCTAGTTGCCCGAATATCGTAGCTCTCAATGAAGTTCAGAGAAACAATACTTCCAGTCACCTGCCGGAATCTAGCCTGTAATAGCTAGGTCCTCTCTAACGGCGAGTCCAAAGCACAGCTGCGATCGTTAAGGACAGCGTCAATGCCCGTGATCTCACCGCCCGCAGCCCGTATAGTCACGTGACTGTGACATGCCTAAATACAGTACTAATCTCAAAAACTACGCATACATACAAAACTAGCATAGTATTAAGTACCTTGTCTAGACTAATTGACTCGCTATCTGGACGAAAGTACTAACCGCCTCTTCGGTTCTCGTACATACTCTGAACATACTCACAGCTCACTTTCGGCTTTCACCAACCCTCATATCCGACTGCTGATCACTCCTCAAACGGAAAAGCCTTCCCTAACCATGTTACCGCAGAAAAAAAGAGCGATAAGCGAAGTCGGAGTCCCCCGAGACTGCTAGGCTGACTACAGCTCCTTTGCGCTCCTTAATGAGGCACGCCCCACCGACTAGTACGACTTGGTGCTAGTGCACAGGCTAAGCTCATGGTTGGAGATAAATATCTCATGGGTGCCTGTGCCTTCAAGATACGCTCGCTCCTTTATCTTGAAATTCTACTACTTAGTACGGAGTAGTTGGTGGTCAAAATGCAATTGCTAAATTCGCCTGCAGCGGCGCTCCTCGCCACGGCCCTTATAGGGCTCGATCCCGCTGCCGCAGCTGCATCAAGCTCATCCTCAGCAGGCGCATCCGCACCAACCGGCGCAACATACGCATCCAAATTCGACATCACCACAAGCTGGGGCAATCTAAGCCCCTACGCCGATAGCCCCGGCTTCAACGTTCCAAACGGCATCCCTCAAGGCTGCGAACTCAAGCAAGTGCACATCCTCCACCGCCACGCGCAACGCTACCCAACACCCTACGATCTCGACGGCCTGGGCATGCAGAAGTTCGCACAGAAGCTCAAGAACTACACTGCGCGGCATCCGCATAGGACGTTAGCGCATGGGCCGCTGGCATTCTTGAATGATTGGGAGTATAAGATGGGTGAGGATGAATTGCTGGGTAGTGGCGCTACGACGGAGGCGACGTCGGGGGCTGATGCGTGGGGGAGGTATGGAAGGTTGTTGTACCGGGCTGGGGCTGGGGTTGCAGGATGGAGTGAGGGGTTGAATTTTTTCGGGAATGGGACGAGGAGGGCGAAGCCGGTGTTTAGGACTACGTCGCAGGCAAGGATTTTGGAGAGTGCGAGGTGGTGGTTGAGTAAGCTTCACTCCTGTGTCTCTGGATCGATGGGTTTTTGACAGTTCTAGGCGGCTTCTTTGGTAACTCCGGTGCCAACAGCTCATACTCGCAGTACGATCTCGTCGTCATCCCCGAAGTCGACCCGTTCAACAACACCCTCGCCTCATACGATTCTTGTCCCGGTGACTCTCGCGAAGGCTACCAAGGGTACTTCCCCCAACCAAACCCTCACACACCCAAATCCCTAATCCAATAATTAACAATACATGTATACAGAGACACAGCCGCAGAATCCTTCCTCCCCGCCCTAACCCACTCCGCCATAACCCGTCTATCCCGCTACCTCCCGAAAGACCTCCCCCTAACCCCCTCCGACATCCTCGCAATGCTCAACATGTGTCCCTACGAATACGCAACCTACAGCACCCATCCCTCCCCCTCCCCCTTCTGCACGCTCTTCACAGAACAAGAATGGAAAGACTACGAGTACATCCTCGACCTGCAGTTCTACGGAAATTACGGGTTCGGCGCGTCGACGGGTCGTGCACAGGGGATTGGCTACGTCCTTGAACTCGCAGCGCGATTACAGTCTAAACTCATCACTTCCAGCGACACCAGTATTAACTACACGTATGACAACAACGAAAAGACTTTCCCGCTAGGCCAGCCATTATACATGGACATGTCGCACGACGACATCATCGTCTCCGTCCTCACAGCCCTGGGACTGGAGTACTTTAAATACGGCCCTACGGGCCTCCCAGCATCTAACATAACACATGCCCCCTCAAACCGTACTTTCAACCTCAACCATCTCACACCTTTCGGCGCACGCCTAACCACAGAAGTCTGGAGTTGTCCATCCCGGGATTCCATTAAACACTTGGATCCCGTGCTGTACTCAAACCCGGATTTTTCTGGACGAAAGAATACAACGGAGTATATCCGGTTTATGTTGAATAATGCGCCTGTTCCGGTTGATGGATTGAAGGGGTGTGAGAAGGGGGTTAATGGGTTCTGTGCTGTTAATGACTTTGTGGCTGCGGTGCCGGGATTGAAGAGGGATGCAGATTATCAGTTTGCTTGTTTTGGAAAGCATGATGCTGGGGGGAGACAGGTTGGGGATGGGAAGCCTGAATGAAGCAGCGGCACGTATATGTTCAGTACGAAGCCCTCAGACAGAGCGGATGATACGGACTATCAAAGTTACCCAATGAGTGATAGTCACATAGGTACGTACAGTAGTTTCTATAGGGAGAGGGAAGCGAAATAAAGTGAACAATACCTTGCCAAAGATACTCCAGAAAAGATAAGTATTTAAAAATACTTAAAAAAATGAAAAAATAAACTCCCCGACTGGGAATCGAACCCAGGTCTCCCGCGCTTGCAGTTACTAAACTGACAAGCGGAAATCATGACCACTAGACCATCGAGGACTTATTGCTTAAGCGACTCAATTTTAAATTTTATAATGCATGCCTCGCATACCCAGCCCTACGTTGCAGAGTAATTCTTCTGAGCCAATTAATATCAATACTCATATCATTGGGTTTTACCATTGACTGTAAGCATTCTAGATTATGAATGTCATGGATTGAGGCGTCACTATGGATGGTAATAACGAGAGTGGTATACCGTCAGCCAATATATATATATAACAGCCAATGTGAAGGTCCAAAAACTTCAAAAATTGTGCACGTAAACGAGGGTACAATCATGGTGCACAACAATACAAAACATAAACAGGCGATCGTCGTAAAAATAAAACCAAGGTTGAGTCGTATAACCCAATCATCGGGTCCGGTGCGTCAATCAGCAACGAAGAACGAGACATGCGTCACTATAGCCCGACACGCTCACAGGACGGATTCAAGACTCGCACTAGCATGCAAAGGTGTCTTCGTCGGGGTTTGTTCAATTCTGTCACATCCCTTACGGGGAGTCTCGAAATTATCTTGCTCGCTCTGGACCAAACTTGACTGTTTGGTTTTGGACTGTACCTCAGGGCTGGCGTAGAACTGCTCTGTAGCCTCTGATCCGGCAGCAGACCGGAAGGGATCGGTGGCGAGGGATTTATTGCTGTGTCCTGATATATCCCTGATTCCAGACAGTGACACGTTCTTCATCACTGATGGCAGTTGACGACTTGCACTTTGAACCTGGCGTAATCCTGCCGTAGAGGGATTGTAGCCAATAGGCGCAAAGTTGGGGGTGGAAAGCGACTCCCTTGGCGGAGTGAAATTCCGGAAAACCCGGCTATATTGGTCTTCGTTAAGCATACCAGCAATACTAGGCTGCTTGCTGTGTTCGTAGCTGACGCCGCTATATCCGGAAGTAGCGCGACTGCCGCCGCTGGAGCTTGATTGGTAGTCAGGCATAGTGATATCACTCTGGGATGATCCTGGCCCTCGATGATGATCAATGATATACGCATCCCCAAAGGGATCTCCCACGGCTTGCGGCTCTTGGCGAACCCATATGGCCTCCCGCGGAGTGTCGGACGACCACTGGTTCGAAGGCAACTGGAAGGCCTTGGGCGACAGAGTGCCGTAAAAAGGAGGCGGAGATTGAACATGAGCGCCCGAAAGTGCGGCTGCTCGGCGGTATTTTGACGGCGAGTGGGTATGAGCGTCCTTTGATTCTTTCAGGTCATTGAGTGAGGTGCGACCCGAATTGTATTGGAAAGGTTGTTGCTGCGCATGCATCCACATGGAAGCATTCGGCCAGGCAATGTTGGCAAGTTCCAAGATTTCTGTTCCGGTCAGTTTATGAACAGTCGAAAAGACAAAGAAGTCTTACGCAAAGGGCCATGCTGAAACGAGAACGCGATGACATCCCTGACCCGTTCGATTGGAGGAGAACGATGAGGACGAGCGAAGCCTTCTGCAATCACAATGACGATTTTACCGAAAAAGTCGGCCGCGCTCGACAACTTTTGTTGTAGTATCTCTTCATGGAATGGCGGAAAGCGAAGGAGTTCTTGGTCACCATTCTTGTCGATTTCTGGATGCTGTTAGTGGATCGAACCGTATAAACAGAAAAAGAACTGACGCACTGGGGCTTAAGTCTAGACAACAACGTTAGCAACACAATCCCTACTCCAGGGATGTAACAACACTCACCAATAACATGAGGCCAGGTAGTCCTCTGACCAAAGACACATCCCCTATTCCTCGTCAGAACCAACGTCTCGCAACGAGGACCGAAACGACTCACGAAGCCGGAATCCCATCGATATAGACCTGAGCATGATACAACAACGCATCATCAGGCTGCATCAGGCTATCCATCAACCGGCTGGGTACAGGCTGGTCCCAGTTATGAATAGATGCTCGGAACGGGACACCCTCCTGTAAACTCGGGACGTAGCTACCAAGGACTGGAAGCAAGGTCTGGGTTCCTGGCGGCATCGTGAAAGACTGCGGGCCCAGAACGGGTCCCATATCGTTGAGGTAGGGCGAATCTGGTAGAAAACAAGTGTATGTCAGCTGGTGGTAAACCAGAGACGAAAAGAAGATGCGTACCTCTGCCTTGGATCACGGAGCACTGCGTCTTGAACTCCTGGATCGGGGTCTTGGAGTCCCCCGGAAAGAGGAGGACATCCCAGTTTTCGTATCGCATCCTGGGCGTTTCGTAGAAGCTCGCGATCGTTTGTCTTCAGAATACAACGAGATGAGATGTGGAACTAAGTCTGGAGAAGTGAAACTGATAAGACGATAACAGTGTAAGAAAACGACATCCACGTCTGTATACAGATGAGAGAAACGGTGCCAGTGACCGGAGGATGAAGAGAATTCAGAAGAGTGACCCGAATGACGAGAGAAAAGCTAGAGGGAGCAAGAGAATAGGGAAGGAAATAGGGAAGCTGCCCTCCAACATGGTCCTTTCCTAAACGGGCCATTCTTGTATAAGTAGGCGGCGCCTATAGAATCCCGCCAACCCGTTCTATCAACCCCAAAATATCTACAGACGAAAAAATACAATTGCCAGGTAACTAAAGGCCGAGTAATAAAAGAAAAGACATTCCAAGTTCCGCCATGGAATGAGTTGAATTGAAAGCAAGCGGAAGAAAGGAAAAGGAAAATGTTGTACAGGCCGTTGGTCTAGTAAAAAGCATGACATAGCATCCCTTAAAAAAAAAAAAAGCGAACATGACTTCAATTTGACTGCTTCATGAGAAAAGATTGGGAATATGAAACTTTTCGCAGAATGCCTGCCCAAGGAGTATAAGGGAAAACGAAGCGCATCAACAATCCCATCACACGTAGAACGAAGACCCAGGGCCGGAAGCATGATATTTGATAGGAAACGAAAAGAAATTGGGGGCATCGAAAGGGAAGAGCAAATAACAGGGACATAAAAAAGCATGGGACAGATGGGTTATAGAAAAAGGGTAAACGACGATAAAAGAAATACAACAGATGGGCTATTAGACGAGCTCAACCTTGCTTCACGGAGACGGTAAAGGAAAACGGAAAAGACAAAACCAAAGCGCTCAGATGTAATGAGATAAGTAGCACAGGAGAAAAGGGCACCCACGGAAGAGGGAGCTATAGGAAGGGAACTTTCGCAGAAATAGCAGGCTTGTTACAACACAAAAGACCCATTATTGAAATGACGCAGAACTCCTGTTAGTGCCTCCTTCAAAAAACAGAACGCTTTTGTTGTTGTTGATCATGTTGTTGATTTAGTTGTCGTTTTTACTAAGAACGGTTCGTTAAATTTGTTTTCAAAAAGGAGACTGCCAAGTGGCTTCAGGACCACCAACCTTCATAGGCGCGAAACCACCGTATTGGTGAGCTGGCGGCATGCCCATGGACGGGTACATCGGCGGCGGTGGGGGAGCGGGACGGTAGGGGCTTCCAGCGGGACCTGAGTTGTTCTGAGAACGGCCCCAGCTGAGACGTACCCGCGAGTTGCCAATGGGGTAACCCTGCATCTGGTTGATGGCCATCTCGGCAGCGTGGCGCTGGACGAACTGGACGAAACCACAGCCCTTGCCAGGAGGGATCTTGACGTAGGTGATTTCACCGAATCCCTGGAAGAACGAACGGAGCTCATCCTCAGTGACGTAGCCGGAAAGACCACCAACGAAGACGGTGGTGTTGTTGGGGTCGGTGAATTGGTTCATGGGCTGAGGGGCACCGTAGAAGCCCATGGGGGGAGCGCCCATGGGAGGGTACATGCCAGCAGGGCCGGGCATACCCATACCACCACCACCGGGCATCATACCAGGACCCTTGTTCTTGGGGGTGGCGGTCGAGATGCGCATGGGGCGGTTACCGCAGTAGACACCCTGCATCTCGCTCAGAGCACGCTGCTGGTCGTTCTCGTCGGAGAAGCGAACGAAACCGTATCCGCGGGACATGCCGCTGATGGGGTCGGTCATGATCTTGGCGGACTTGCAAGAGGGGAAGCGGCTCTGGAAGAGAGAGACAAGAACATATTCGTTGACCTCGGGACCAAGGTCACCAACGAAGATGGAGTACTCAGGACCACGGTCGTCACGGCTAGAAACCCAGGTTAATCATCTGCGCTGTGATAATACCGCTGGCAGCATGTGTCTAGACTTACCTGCGGTCAGCAAGGCCACCACCAGTAGCCCAGTTGAGCTTGAACACACGGTTGGTGTTGGGCATGGGAGTGCCGTTCAGAGACAGGGCCTTGGCGGCAGCAGCGGCGGAAGTGAAGTCGACGAAGCAGTAGCCGGCGTTGCTCCTACTACCAACATTAGGATCGCCTTCAGGAGGTCATGGTGCAACTAAGGAACTCACCCAGAGAACTTGTCGCGGATCATCTTGACGTTGACCTGCTCACCCATCTGGAACCACAGGTTGCGGATGAAGTTCTCATCGATCCAAGGCTCAAGCTCACCCATCCTGGACATCAATTAGCGCCTGCACTAACCATGTATTCTCTAGATCTGAAACGTACCAGAGAGTGGTCTTGCCATCGGCACCCTGCTGGGGAACAGCAGCCGCAGTGGCATCACCGGCAGGACCCTGGAAGGCAGCTTCCTGACCAGCCATAGTAGCGTCTGCGGGGGCGGGGGCGGCAGCAGCAGCGGCATCAGCCTGGTTTTGGAACGAATCGAAGTTCTGGAAAGACATTTTGGCGCTTGGTAAAGAAGTGTATCAAATTCGACAACTTTTCTAACCCGAAAACGGCTCGTGCAAATAGGACTTCGTGGGAGTCGTTAAGAGAGAGCGTGCGTTCGTTGAAATCCGTAAGGGACAGGAAGGGGTATTCTTTCTGTGGGAAGAATCGGTTAGTGGGGAGCTGATCACGGGAACGCTGACGATGGATGATAAGCTGGATGACGAGGCCTGGAGGCAATGCACAGTGCACTTTACAGTAGCGCAACGCAAATTGCCGCTGTCTGACACCGACAAAAGAAGCGAGATAGTTTCCAACTTTTGCCTATATGCAAGAAATCGCGAGTGAAGAATGTCTGCAGTGAATTGTATGCGATAGCGGTACTCTCGTTGCCAAGACCGGAATATCCGACTAGAAATGTCGCACGAGACGATTTAAATGTTGTAATGCGGACGAAAAGTTCTCTCAATATGTCGGCAAGGATATGAAGAAAAAAAAAAAAAAGGTCGAGCGATTCTCCATTTCCGGTACCCGCAATACAACCCGCATTCGTCAAAAGGATACATTCAAATCCGCTCCATTTTCGCCGATTGCGACCGTCCCAAACCAGTCTGCCGACCCGATTTGTAATTCACCAGGACCGACACCAAGCCATGTAACAACAAGGTCGCATGCTCGAAAAGATATTTCATTTATTCAAAAAATGTGGATAGTGTGGAGTCGAAAGTGTGCGGTCGGGTATTTTGGGAGGAGAGCCAAGTGGGTGGGCTGGCTGGGCGACCAAAGGGAAAACCCCGAGAAATGGCGTGGGAGAAGTGGCCAAGGCAGAAAGCGAGAGAGCACCGGCGCACGCACGTACGTATCAAGGCAGCATTCATCACCGCAGATCGATAAGACGAGCCTCGCTCACAGTTGTAGAACGACCGTCTAGGAAGGAGAATGGGAGAGTCGGGCTTTTCTTCCTCGTGAAATGATTTGACTGTCATGTCCGTCCGTTGTCCAGGCCTCGGCCATCCATCCCCAACCGAAGATAACAGGGAAAAACAAAAAAAAAAAAAAAAGCAAACTTACCAGACAAGATCAAATCAACCTTGCTAAATAAAAATGAATCACAGGGGGAATTGTCGTGGCGCAAAGACGTTAAGACGAGAGAAAGCCAAAGATAACTCCCGCAATGGACTGAGTAGAAATAAACGAGATCTGAACAAACAGAAAACGACAAAAAGACGAAAAAAGGAAAAAGGCGATTCGCAAACCGACTCCGTTAAGATCCGACCAGAGAAGGAAAGATTTTAAAGTAGATTGAAAAGAGGAGGAGGAAAGAGAGAGGAAAAAGAGAAGAGAGAGAGAGAAGAGAGGAGAACGAGAGAGGAGGGGTAAAAGGAAAAAAAAAAAAAAGAGAATTCCAGATATGCTTCAGCAAATGGAGGGGATTGAAAAAAAAAAAAAAAAAATAAGGGAAAAAAACACTGTAAAGAAATCTCCTTTGACCTCAAAGAAATACTGGTCATTATGCTCCTCCCTTTCAGCCACGTCAATGCAAGCTAACACCCCCAAGAACCTGCATTACATCATTGACAGCCTTCGTGTCAACCGGCGAAAGACGAGCAGCACCAGCACCAAC